CGGCCGACCGGTCGGGCCGGGCTGAAGGTCCGGGGGAGAGGCCGGGCGGGGACCGCGCCGACCGTCTGGGGAGGGCTGGGCCCCGCGCCGCGGCGGCTGCTGCCGGCGGCCAGCAGAAGCCCCCGCTGCCCGTGAGCTCCTGCGGGGACGCGGGCGTGGCGCCGGCCCAGGAGACACAAGGCAGGGCGGGCCGCCCGGGTGCCTCGGAGTGTCCCCAGTTCGGAAAAGTGAGCAGATGGAGATAGAATTTAGTTTTTTCATGTTTTTTGTTTGTTTGTTTTTAATAGTTTTTTCTTGTTTCCAATGTGCTAAACAGGCTTTCTCCTGAAAGTTAGGTTCCAGAGAAAGAAACTTGCCTAATAGTGCATTTTGGTGACTAATCAGGGAATGTAGCCCGACCTGGCGAGTGACAGGGAGCCCGGGACGGAAACAGGGAAGGTACCTGTGAGTCCAAAGTGGAAAGCCCGGAAATGAGTAGCTGACACCTTGGGAAAGCGCATGGATGTGGGTGCAACAGACGGCAGCTGCCCTGTGTGGAGCCATGATGTGCTCTGGGGTGGACGCAGTGCCGCAGCCTTTGCCATTGCAGGGGTTTTAACAGTCCCATTAGAGAGGTGCGGAATTAATGACATTTGAGCCCAGAAATGCAGGTAGTGTCAGAAGGGTTTTGGGGTTTTTTGTTTGTTTGTTTGTTTGTTTGTTTGTTTTAATTTATTTATTTTTTTTATCACAACCATAGTGTTTTTTTAATACTCCTAGGCTTAAATTCCGGCTTCCCTGGTGGCTCAGACAGGAAATAATCCGCCTGCAATGCAGGAGACCCAGGTTCAATCCCTGGGTCAGGAAGATTCCCCTGGAGGAGGGCGTGGCAACCCACTACAGTATTCTTGCCTGGAGAATCCCCATGGACCGAGGAGCCTGGCGGGCTACAGTCCACGAGGCCACAAAAAGTCTAACAGGACTGAACGACTACGCACAATACACAGCAGGCTTTAATTCATGCTTGGAAGTTTATAGTTAGCAAGCATTTGTTGAATGCCTACTGTGTGCCAAAAGATGTCTAGATTCCAAGGATATAAAGATGACCAAGGACCAGCTGTTCACATAGGCTTGCCATCCTGGAGACACTGATAATGTTAAGAATGCAGGCCATCCCATGATTACAGAGAGGTGTGTGACTAAAGCCACTGCTGAAGTGAAGGGAAAGTGTTAGTCCCTCAGTCCTGTCCAACTCTTTGCGACACCATGGGCTGTAGCCTGCCATGCTCCTCTGTCCGTGGAATTCTCCAGGCAAGAATACTGGAGACTGTTGCTATTCCCTTCTTCAGGGGATCTTCCCTACCCAGGGTTTGAACCCAGGTCTCCTGCATTGCAGGCAGATTGTTTACTATCAGAGCCACCAGGGAAGCCAGGGGGGGAAACGCCAGCTGTAAAGATGCCAGATTGGGTGGCAGTGAGCCTCTTGCTCCCAGATGCATCCATGGTTTCTAAATAGAGACGGGATTTGTGAGGGGAGTCCTGGAGCTTCTTCGGACCTGAAGCTGAACTGGGCCTGATGGATGGAAGACACCCAGAGCTCACATACAACAGAGCAGTCTCCAGTGAAGATGTGAGGTTTACTTCATGTGGAGAAAGTTTGAGAAGAAGAAACGGGTGGTATGTGTCTGTCAGGAAGCTGCTCGCAGGAAAAGAGGCAGGTGTTTGAAGGAGACTCCAGACAGAACCTGCAGGAAGACAGGAGTCAAGCCCAGACTTGAAGTTTCACAAAATTTAGTGTCAGTCTCTCTCCTGCCCATGCAGCCTCTGCTGGACCAGAGGAGGCTCACTGCCACCCAATCTGGCATCTTTACAGCTGGCGTTTCCCCCCCTGACTTCCCTGGTGGCTCTGATAGTAAACAATCTGCCTGCAATGCAGGAGACCTGGGTTCAAACCCTGGGTAGGGAAGATCCCCTGAAGAAGGAAACGGCAACAGTCTCCAGTATTCTTGCCTGGAGAATTCCATGGGCAGAGATTTATTAATATGTTTAAAATCTTTATATTCTGGTTTCACAACGTGAATGTTCTTAATGCTACTGAGCTGTATGCTTAAAAATGATTATTGTTCAGTCGGACACGACTCTTTGCAACCCCGTGAACTGCTTCCCTGTCCTTCTCCATCTCCCAGAGTTTGCTCAAATTCACATTCATTGAGTCGGTGATGGCATCCAACCATCTCATCCTCTGTTGTCCCCTTCTCCTCCTGTCTTCAGTCTTCCCCAGCATTTAGGGTCTTTTCCAATGAGTCTGCTGTTTGCATCAGGTGGCCAAAGTGTTGGAGCGTCAGCTTCAGCACCAGTCCTTCCAATGAATATTCAGGGTTGATTTCCTTTAAAAATTTTTCAAATGGTAAATTTTATGTTATGTATACTTTGTTGTTGTTTAGTTGCTAGTTATGTCCAACTCTTTTGCAACCCCATGGACTGTAGCCAGCCAGGCTCCTTTGTCCATGGAATTTTCCAGGCAAGAATACTGGAGTGGATTGCTATTTCCTTCTCCAGGGGATCTTCCTGACCCAGGAATCAAACCCACATCTCCTGCATTGCAGGTGGATTCTTTACTGCTCAGCTACCAGGAAAGCCCATGTATACTTTACCACACAGGGAAAAAGTATATATTAACATTTTCTTCAAAATGTATAATGAACAGGTTTAGGTAACCAAATACCTGATGACAGGGTAGGAGTTAAATAACAGAAAGCTTATGCACCACTACAAATTCTTTTGAAGAACATTTAGTGCCATAGGAAAATTCTCATGAAAAGTTAGAGAAACTGTCCATAAACTTAAATAAACAGTATGAATAAATAACATTTTATAAGAATACTGTACAAAATATTAATGATATGGGAAAAAATAATACCAAAAAGAAATATCTCAGTATCAACAGTTGGGGTTATTTCTGGATGGAGGGATCACAGGTGCTTTTTCTTTAATACATGTGTACTGCATAAACGTGTGCAGAGTTGGTGGTATAGTGGTGAGTGTAGCTGCCTTCCAAGCAGTTCACCCAGGTTCGATTCCCGGCCAACGCAGCGTTCCCAGTGTTGGAGACTGAGAGCAAGGTGGATGAACCTGAATAGCATAGTTCATACCTTTCACAGTGTCTGTCAGCATTCTTATCTATGCACAGTTCTAATTATGAATCTATCTGCATGTGAAAGACAGTCAACACCTGTGAAGTTTGGAGTTAGTAAACATTAATGCTGCAGAAAGGCAGAGTTAAATCCAGGCACTTCTGTTTAACCAGATCTTAGACCATGTAAGAAACAAGAAATGTGAAGCCCTAGTTTGTTGATGGTTGGGCAGACACCACTAGGTCCTGGGTGGGATACACCAGTGTGAGTGGTGGCAGTGGGAGGGTCCCGAGGAGAGGAACAGCTGTGTGAAGGCCCTGAGGGTTTGCCAACCTGAAGAAAAGCCACCTGGGCCAGGATGATGCTGCGGGGAGGCCAGGCCTTGAACCCTGACAGGAAAATTGAATTTCATTTGAAGCACAATTTTCAAAATAAGAAAATGGTTATTCACGCTCCAGTATGGCGAAGGGATGAGAGGCACAGAGGAGCGGAGGTAGGGAAGCAGTCAGGTTCCACTGTGGGGAGTGGGGAGGGCTGTAGATGTGGGAGAGAGCCTAGCTCCAGGAATGAGGGGAACCGTTGCCTATGGCAGGTGCCCATGACAGGTGGGGGCCTTGACCTAGGACCACACCCTGGTGGGGACTGGCCAGGAGGAGACTGGGCATGTCAGGGGCCCATGCTGAGATGCAGTAAACCTTCTGTGCTAAACTGGGGGTCGTCAGCACACAGGTGCATTCTGGGTCTCCCATGGGCACTATAGCCCAGCAGAGGGCCTATGGGACTCCAGCCAAGGGAACCCAGTGGTCAAGGGCAGGTGCAGTGGAGGAGGCCATCCTGAGAGGGACACCTGCTCATTGACCGTCTTCAACCCAGTGGGACCCGCAGCCTTCCGGGAAGTGCTAGCTCACTGTGGACAAACTGTCAGAGAAGACTCCAGGTTCAAAGCCTGACAAATAGTTAGTCTATTAAACCCAGTATCTCACTATTCATTAGTTTATTATTAAATACATATAAAAGTTCTTTCAGTTCAAAATATGTTTATTTTTCTTAGAAGTATTTCTTTTTTCTGTTATGTCTAAACATAACAGCATTTTTACTACTAATGGTTCAAATTTTTCCCCCAGACTGGTTTTACAGAAACTTGTGTAACTCATGAGTCTCTTTGAGTTTAGAGAAGAATTATATGTAAAAATTCAGGGCTTCACTGTCACATAATCTTAATTTTTAATTTAGAAATAAATGCTTCTATGGTCTTAAAATGGGCTTCCCTCATAGCTCAGTTGGTAAAGAATCTGCCTGCAATGCAGGAGACCCCGGTTGATTCCTGGGTCAGGAAGATCCCCTGGAGAAGGGATAGGCTACCCACTCCAGTATTCTTGGGCTTCCCTTGTGGCTCATCTGGTAAAGAATCCGCCTGCAATGCGGGAGACCTGGGTTCCATCCCTGGGTTGGGAAGATCCCCTGGAGAAGGGAAAGGCTACCCACTCCAGTATTCTGGCCTGGAGAATTCAATGGACTATACAGTCCATGGGGTCGCAAAGAGTTGGACATGACTGGGTGACTTTCACTTTCACTTTCATGGTCTTAAAACACACCTATTTATAACCGAAATCTGCTACATTTTCATTAAGATGAATATCATGAGTCTATGCAAGAGGATCTGGGGGTGTTACAGTATTTGCCACAAAAATTATAAACCAACATACAGTTTACAAACTTGGATAATGTTCAGATTTTGTGATTATAACATGATTGCAATATCTTTTTAAAAAATAACGTTCAGCTGCCCCACAGTTTTCCTGTAGAACAATCCTAAATTCACGGTCGATTATATTCACTGAAAAGAGAATCCTTAAGAACTCTGACTTGAAACTTTTTTCCTACAGGATGACTGTGGGAATCTTCGCAAACTGTACCTTCTGTTTGAAAGTCAAGCACTTATCTCGTCAACAGAAGAGAAAACTACAAACTGATATTAAGGAAAATGGTGGAAATTTTTCCTTTTTATTAAATGCTCAGGTATTTTCAAATTTTATGAGAACTGTATGATAAACATTGTGCATTACCTGAGGGCAAGTCATGGTTAGAAGGGCAAGCAGAGGAAATCGGCAGCGGGAGAAAGCCAGAAAAGGCAGGAGAAGGTGTGCAGTTGTTTCCAGTTTTCACTGTTGTGGACAGTGGTGTGCTGGATGTTTTCCTGTCCCATCCTCATACGTTTCTTTAGTTACTTCCTTAAGAGTAGAATGAGCGGTTCAAAGGTGTTCATTATTTATTTATTTTAATTTGTTGATTTGTAATTTTATCAATTTATTTTTGAGTAAATATGAAGTATCTACACATTGTAGAATATCTAAAAAGTAAAATAATAATAAGTTAACTTATTTCCGACCATGGTTCCCGATTCTGGAGCTGCTCTCTGCATAGACAGCACACACGAGGACATGTGAGGGCACACGAGCACACAGCTCTGTTTCAGCCCAGACGCAGAAAACACACATTCTGCACTTACTTTTCCACTTCACAATTTGAGAGATCATTCTTCACTGTCACGTATCAAACTACTTCCTTTGTTATAGTACCTGGTGTGCACATTTCAGATGTTTATGTATATTGAAACCCAGTGTCCAAAAAGATTGACAGGTTTCTAAAATTAGAGACCATGTTGGCATTCTCTACCCAGAAAATGGGCTGAGAATAGGCAGGAATTATTCATCCATCCACAGAGATGGTGAGATAGATTAAGTTGTGTGATTCTGCCTAAACTGGCGCCGAATTGGGATATTTCATTTCTGACATTCACAGGCAAAGTATTAAATGCCAGAGAAGCACCCAGTACCTCCTGGCTGGAGTAGGACATGCCTTATAGAACAAGTAGGCTCCCTGTGGGCTGTGGTCCACAAAGGGGCAAGTGGAGTCGGACCCCGCAATGACCCAGAGGGAAGCACACCCTAGCGGCAGGCACTGCATTTCAGGCCTGGGGTCTAACAAATGGACTTCAAGTTTTACTTTTTATGATGAGGTGGTTAGTTGGTTAATCAGTTACGGTATACCCATATCCATACTCTGTTGATTTTTTAAAACTTTTATGTAACTAGAGATTGTCATTCATAAGAGTTTTAGAAATCTAAGAAATATTAGTACCAATGGGGTGAAAAATAGGTACAAATAATTTATTTAATTTTTGTTTTTACTAATGCATAATTACTTGTTTTTTCTCAGTGCACACATGTAATCTTAGACAATGCTGATGTTCTGAGCCAGTATCAGCTGAAGTCTATTCAGAAGAACCATATTCTTATTGCAAACCCAGATTTTGTATGGGAATCTATCAAAGAAAGGAGACTGCTGGATACAAAGATTTATGGTCCCAGTGAGTCACTGGACATCACACCAGCTTCCAATGAAGAATGGAGCAGCTCTAGTAAGTATTTCATGTCAAGTGCCTAATGTATTGGGGCTTCCCAGGTGTTGATAGTGGTAAAGAACACACCTGGCAATGCAGGAGATGTGGATTTGATCCCTGGGTCAGGAAGATCCCCTGGAGAAGGAAATGGCAACCCACTCCAGTATTCTTGCCTGGAAAATCCTATGGACAGAGAAGCCTAGTGGACTGTAGTCCACGGGGTCTCAAAAGTCATATACAACTTAGCAACTGAGCACACACACACTTAATGTATTAGAGTTTCTACAGTAAACATTTTGGTTTATCAAAGATATTATTGGCAAAAGATTGTCCAAATACTGTGAAACTAAGCAGGCTTCTTATCATCCCAGAAAAGGGTCAGAAACTAGTGAAGGGCAAAAGATTTCTTTAGCAATAGAAATAGATTTCTCAGTGTTCCGTCTGATACACTCAGATTCAAAATGACTACAAAAACATTGATAATCTCAGCAAGCTTGATGTGTAATTTTTTTTAATCTATTCAAAATTTTATTGTGGTCATACAAAGGCTACATTAGGTTAAATACAACATCCTATGAGGCAATTTTAACATTTATTAAATACAACATCCTATGAGGCAATTTTAACATTTATTAAACTGTTGTTCAAAGCATAAATTTACACATTGTATATACACTGAACATATCTGCTGAAGTCAGCACTGGTCTTCCATTATCATTTGATACATCTTAGTGAAAGATGTTGACTTTACAAGACTTTTTAATGTGAATCCTTAATATGAAAACTTGTACTACTTGTATGTAAATTGTTTAATGGGGAACCCAGTGAGTAGGCTTCTATCACTACCACGTCCTCCATTTTGTTGCATATTTAATTTTAAATGCATATAAGGTAGGGCAAAGTGTCAAGTTTAAATCTGAACACGCTACCTAAATTTCCCAATTACCCGCAATGAATTATAGATGAAAGCTGGTTTGATCTGGTCCCAAACACCTAATACTAATGGTTTTTGTTTTCAAGAGAATTAACAGAATAAATTGTTCAGGTTGTTCCACAATGGAATGTAGACTCGACAAACTTCACCTGATAACTTCAGATCTTTCTAAAGAAAGTGCTGACACTTGTTGAAGCGTCAGTGGAGAAGCTGTCTTGGAGGCTTGGCTGAGTGGGTGAAGACGCTCATTGTGTCCGAAGTGATTGCAACGTCCTCCCCTCTCGCCAGTCACTGAATGACATCCTGTGATAAACGGCTGGCTCTGAAAAAGCATTCAAAGCAGATGGTTTGTGAAAAGAATCTGCTTCCATGCTATCAGAGAAAAGCCAGCCTCCCATATTCAAGAAGAGAGTTTTCCACAGATGATCAAGCTCATCACAGGGTGGATCCAACGGGCTGCTTGTAAACTTCATCCTTGTATTTCTTGTGAATCTTCGGGATGGTATTTAAGTCCTTAGTTTACTTGTAAAAGAACCATAAACCCCATCATTCAGATAATACACAAAGTCTGGCTCATCACTTCTGGTATTTTCTATTCCAGAGAAAAATGTATCACTTCCAACAGCTTTCTTTTCAGTGATGTTAATAGCAAATGTAAAGGCAGAAGACACATAGTATCTCCTAGGTCCTGAAGTTGTCTTGACACTAGGTACTTCTGGAAATTTGAACATCTAGCCTGGGGCTGGCAATTTATGAACCTCTTTCAGCTGAAGTTTAGTTCCTGTGACCGCCTCCCCTCCCCCATTCACAATGACTAGCACATTCATTTCAAGGCTGAGGTCTGCAGCCACCTCACACACACTGGGCATCTGATAGAGCATGGGTGTTTACTTGAGAGTCTTGGCAGGCCCTTGAAACATGAAAATTGACACTGGTAATTTAGACCAAGTTCCTTAGCACATTACAAAAAACCACCTATTTTTCTTTTTTTTTTTTTTTTTTTTTTACATTTTATTTATTTATTTATTTTTTCACAACCATAGTGTATCTTTTTTTTTTTTTTTTCCACATGTATTCCCCATCCCGGTCCCCCCTCCCACCTCCCTCTCCACCCAATCCCTCTGGGTCTTCCCAGTGCACCAGGCCCAAGCACTTGTCTCATGCACCCAACCTGGGCTGGTGAACTGTTTCACCCTAGATAATATACGTGTTTCGATGCTGTTCTCTTGAAACATCCCACCCTCGCCTTCTCCCAGAGTCCACAAGTCTGTTCTATACATCTGAGTCTCTTTTTCTGTTTTGCACATAGGGTTATCGTTACCATCTTTCTAAATTCCATATATATGTGTTAGTATACTGTAATGGTCTTTATCTTTCTGGCTTACTTCACTCTGTATAATGGGCTCCAGTTTCATCCATCTCATTAGAACTGATTCAAATGAATTCTTTTTAATGGCTGAGTAATATTCCATGGTGTATATGTACCACAGCTTCCTCATCCATTCGTCTGCTGATGGGCATCTAGGTTGCTTCCATGTCCTGGCTATTATAAACAGTGCTGTGATGAACATTGGGGTACACGTGTCTCTTTCAGATCTGGTTTCCTCGGTGTGTATGCCCAGAAGTGGGATTGCTGGGTCATATGGCAGTTCTATTTCCAGCTTTTTAAGAAATCTCCACACTGTTTTCCATAGTGGCTGTACTAATTTGCATTCCCACCAACAGTGTAAGAGGGTTCCCTTTTCTCCACACCCTCTCCAGCATTTATTGCTTGTACACTTTTGGATAGCAGCCATCCTGACTGGTGTGTAATGGTACCTCATTGTGGTTTTGATTTGCATTTCTCTGATAATGAGTGATGTTGAGCATCTTTTCATGTGTTTGTTAGCCATCTGTATGTCTTCCTTGGAGAAATGTCTGTTCGGTTCTTTGGCCCATTTTTTGATTGGGTCATTTATTTTTCTGGAGTTGAGCTGGAGGAGTTGCTTGTATATTTTTGAGATTAATCCTTTGTCTGTTGCTTCGTTTGCTATTATTTTCTCCCAATCTGAGGGCTGTCTTTTCACCTTGCTTATAGTTTCCTTTGTTGTGCAAAAGCTTTTAAGTTTCATTAGTTCCCATTTGTTTATTTTTGCTTTTATTTCTAAAATTCTGGGATGTGGGTCATAGAGGATCCTGCTGTGATTTATGTCGGAGAGTGTTTTGCCTATGTTCTCCTCTAGGAGTTTTATAGTTTCTGGTCTTACATTTAGATCTTTAATCCATTTTGAGTTTATTTTTGTGTATGGTGTTAGAAAGTGTTCTAGTTTCATTCTTTTACAGGTGGAAAAAACCACCTATTTTTCTTCAGGGTAGTGCCGCTCTCGGTGTTACCTTCTGCTGCGGTAGGTAGTGAGACCTCAGAGAAGGGAAGATGGGGCATGGCTGGTCCACCCCCACAGCAGCACACATCGGGCCTGCAGACTGGAGCTGCAGGGACGGTGCCAGCGCCCCCAGACCCAGGATGAGAGAAACAAGTGAGCCTCACAAAGTACAGTCTTGGCATTTGGGTGATGGCGGTACGATTCCTCTATAAGCAAAACATGAAGCAAACGTGTTAGGCCTCACTTACGCACCTTGATCCTCTCCTAGCTGGAGCCTCCCCATTTCCTTCATTGAAGACAGGATGACACTGAGGAGCTCATTCAAATCCATGGTGCATAAGAAACACATTCATAGCCACGCTCACCATAATCTTCAGGGCAGGAACATGGCACCTGAAATTGCATACCTGTTACTGAGCGCTTCTCGCTTGCCCAATAAATAGAAGTACAAAAATTTGTTTTCACCAACTTTTAATCTGTCTTCCTCTTTTCCTCTTGTATTGTCCTTAGATTACGAGTCTTTTATGTCTCCTGCATTGGTAGGCAGGTTCTTCACCACTAGTGCCACCTGGGAAGCCCATAGCTAATTTAAAGTAAAAGTGAAAGTCAGTCATATCTGACTCTGCAACCCAAGGACTATACAATCCATGGAATTCTCCAGGCCAGAATACTGGAGTGGGTAGCCGTTCCCTTCTCCAGGGGATCTTCCCAAGCCAGGGATCAAACCCAGGCCTCCCACACTGCAGTTGGATTCTTTACCAGCTGAGCCATAAGGGAAGCCCATAGCTAATTTAAGGACACCTAAGAAAACATAACAGCATAGCAAGATTTATTGTTAACTAATTTTAATATATATTTGAGTAATAGACGTGCTTTATTTGTTTGAATTCTAGAAATGGAAACGAATGATTCTTCATTCCTGGACAGTTCCACAGAGGAGAACACTGTTGAACTCACTAAGTAATCTACTTCTGATCTTTAAGACTTGACATAGTTTGTGAAATATTTTGTAAACCTCAGTATTAAAATGCTTTTAGTACATCCATATTTTTATAGTATTTTAATTTATCTTGCTTATCTAACTCTATTAAGTTTTTAGTTAGTTATTCACTTACTGTAGTGATAATTATTTTTATCTTGTCAGTATTATATGAGACTAGATGTAATTGTTAGATTGATTTTAAAAAAGAAAAACCACTGGAGATGAGATTTGGGCAGTCTGCTCTTTCTGTTACCTTCCTGAACAGTGTTCTGAGTAAAGACCATTCATTAGTCTCTACCTGATACTTTAAAAGACCCTGATAATGGGAAAGATTGAAGGCAGGAGAAGAGGACGACAGAGGATGAGATGGTTGGATGGCATCACCAACTCAATGGACATGAGTTTGAGCAGGCTCCAGGATTTGGTGATGGATGGGGAAGCCTGGAATGCCGCAGTCTATGGGGTCGCAGAGTTAGACATGACTGAGCAGCTGAACTGAACTGATATTTTAAATAAATAAATAGAGATAGAAATAACATAGCCTTCCCCAAATGAAGTATATGAGTCTAAAGTTCTATACGGCTTCTTAAAGTGTACATACCCTCAGCTGCAGTGTCATTTAGATATCACAGTTGATCCCACTTTATTTGTTAGTCTTCATGTTATAAGAGAGAACAAATATCAAAAATAAAAGTACAGATTATGAGAAATATGACACCCTTAATTAATTAGTTAGCTTCTTAATTAGCTAATTTATTTTAAAGAGGACTTGACTGTAGTCTGGAGAGGTATGGGTCCCTCTGGAGTGACTGGCTTCCAAGGGCCAGAGCCCAGGGTGAACATAGGTCCCCCCACCCCCATCTCCATGACACATGTCATCCCCCACCTCTGCAGCAGACTCACAGCACTCAGAGCTCTAGAATTGTGTATGGGAGGGATCAATCCATTCTCTCCACAGGACCTTGTTGCGATCTTTAGAATATCTAAGGAGGTATTAAGAACTTACAATGTATTTTGTATGGAATTAGGAAAGCTACAAGAAAAATTTTACGAAAAGTCTGTTTAGTCTAAAGCTTCATTTTGATATTAAAATTGTATTATACCAATTTCAGGTTTCATGCAGAGGATGTTGAAATTCCTCATCTTCCTCAAGATTTTGAAGTTGCAAAATATAACATCTTGGAAAAAGTAAGACTCTTAATTTCTAGTTGAGGGAACAAAGCTGTTTGAAGTCTTCTAATTATTTTTCCTGTTTGATAATTTTCCTATTTTTGAAAAATTGTGCATTTCCTGAATACTCCTTAATATGTGAGTTGATTTTTAATAGTAAAAAAATTCACATTTAAAATGTAATGTTTGATTTTAGTGTTTTTATTATGAAAGAAATGCATACTTATAATATATATGCTTAAAATATAATAAAAATATAAACAGCACAAAAACTTAATATGACATTAAAAAATGAAGATACTCCTCTCTGTTAACAGTTTCTTGTATTTTAAAAGAGTAGATTTCACACCAAGTATTTTCAGTATGTTGAATTTCCATTATTTTTCATTAAGAAAAATAAAAAAACTTTTCCTCTGACATCGTATAAATGCAAAATAACAGTAATATTTAAAATGATGCTCCATTTATATTTTTAAGATATTTTAATAAAATGTAACTTGAAAATAACACTTCCTCTCTGATTAAGAAAATGTGAAAAGTGGGATGGTTTAAACATATACAGGTATATTTATAACAAAATTTCCAGAAGGAAATATAAAAAAATATTAATAGTGATTACATATCTGTAGTAGGACTCCAGATGATTTATATTTTCTAATTACTTTCTAAATTATTTCTGCAAATGATATAATTTGTATCAGGTTTATAATCAACATTTTTAAATGGAGTGTGTGGTTTGTTATTTAGTGAATGCAGCTTATAAAAGAGCAACATGTTTTCCAGGTTGTGACAGAGGGAGGTAAGGAGACAGCCGTGGTGGAGCTGCAGTGCCTCCAGGGCCCTGAGGACCGTGGCTTTCTGATATGCACACACTTCCTCCTGGCCACCGGCACCCAGGTAAGGGCTTCGTGGTGAAGCCTATGTTTTTATTGTCCACCTTGTTGATAGCAAATTTTGTAAAAACTGGTTCAGTTGAACCAGCCAATCCATTAGCTTCTCTCTTTTTAGCTAGTACCATTTTGAAAAGTGGAGAGGTGCTCTTTTTGGGGTATGGAGGTGAGGAGGGCAGGCTGGGAGCCAGGAGAACATTCCCTGGGATGCGGGTTCCTGCTCCTGCTTGAGTTACTGACAGAAACTTTCCTAATGTTTGTACCTCGGCACTGGATCCCTTCACTCACTTCATTAAACTCTGCTCTGTACCTCGAGGCCACTCCTAGTGTGAGGTGAAAAGACCACACACCCACCCTTGGAAGTCGGCTTGACAGCGCATCGTGGTCCCGCCCCTGCCGTGACTCAGCTGCTACTGAAATATGTGTGAAGTGCCTGGGCTCAGGGACAGCAAGCGGGGCTGCCCGTGCCCACAACCTTCTCGAGGTCAATGGCAGGGTTCTGACCTAAGACAGTTACAGGAAAGAAACAACCCAGAGCCTGCGCCTGTAGAGCCTTCAGCCCTGTCAGCGTCTTCAGTGAGACGCTAACTGACCGGAGGCTCACAGGCTCCCCTTTGAGTGACCACACAGTGGTTCTCTAAGGCTCAGGACACGCCCGTTTCACCCATTCCCCACAGCGGGGTCAGCTGTCGTCCAGGAAGGAGAACCACATCTCCTCAGGGCCCAGACTTCTGCTGATGCCCCCAGGTTCCTGATGCCCGGCAGGGAGACAGTTACACAGTCCTGGGCCCAGGACTCAGGCTGGCCATCTGTCGGCATTCACTGCTGACCTCCAGTTCTGGTGTAGGACTCCATTACCCAAGCAGTTCTGCCAAATATTACAGCTGGTATCCCACACCTTTCAAGATTCCATGAGGACTAAAAGATTAAACCAAGGTTAAGTATGTCCAAGAAGGAGAAAGACTTTGTTAGCCTTTTGCCCAGAAATGTAGACCGTGTTTTGTGGAGAATTTAGGTCCTTGGGTGAAAGTAAGTAAAAATCAAGTTGAAAACCAGGTAGAATGTGTCGAGCTGCTTCTGCCTTCCCAGCCTCCCTCCCCCAGCCTGGCCCTCCTGTTCCTGTGTGAGTCTGTTCCCTCGACGGTCATAACCCTCCCTGATGAGACAGAGCTTCTCTGGCCCTTGTCCTTTGTTAATCCATCGTGGCAGAAATCTTCCAAAATTAGGTTAAATTTTACCTTTTTTTTGTAAAAATTATTGATTTTATTAAATCTTGGCCCTTGTTCATTTTTTTTTATACCTTCTTGAATGGAGTGATGTGGATGTGGTGTGTGTCCTGCGGCCAGTGGGGCAGGGTTTTGGCCCTGTGTGATCCAGCCCCCATGCACAGCCCGCAGGGTCTCCACAGCCCTACTGGGCAAGCCCTCCATGTTCACTGAAGTTGGAACAAGGCAGGATTTGGGGAGGACAGACACCCCATCAGGACAGCGGGAATAACCACAGTGTTTGCCTCTGCCTTGGTCTGCATGACCTGCCAGCACCCCTCCGTTTCTCCTTGGCTAGGGCAGTCCTTTCGCTTAGACTATGCCTGTCTCTAACGATGCCTCATCTCTGAGGTATTTTTCTTTCCTCCCCTCGCCCGGTTTTTCTCATTTCTGGAAGGCTAGCAGCCAGACTTCAAAGTGGGGTAGGATGGTGTGTAAGGTCAGATTCTGGGCTCTGAACACATGTCCTGAGGCTCTTTCGTTAGTCCAGTACTTCTTTCCCACCTGCCGTGCCTCTCAAACTTGCCCCCCAACTTGCAGGTTTTAGGCTGTTTTGTCAAGAATTGAAAATGTTAAGTAATTCCTTGAAATAGCTAGTTTCTAAGCTCCTTTACAGCAGGAAACTAGCTGAGGCACCTTATCTGTGATCCTGTTTCCCCTCCCCCCACCCTCACCATGGTACCCAGTAGGTGTTCATTAAAGATTGATGTGCTAGTAGGCTACCGTATGCTCATGTTCTGACACTGTGCTACGTTCTATAACCTACAGACCAGGAGGCAGTCCTCTGTGAAGAAAACCTCTGCAGACGCAAGTGAATACTATGAGAATTATATTGAGGAGCTGAAGAAACAAGGTTTTCTACTGAAAGAACATTTTACACCTGAAGCAACCCAGTTAGCATCTGAAAAACTGCAAGCAGTAAGCTTGATTTCTACATATTCTTCTGTATTACTGATTAAATAGATTAAACAGAAATGTTTTCTTCATGACAAATAAAAAGTTGGCAGGAGACGAGAATAGGAGTTAAAAGAAGGGAAGAGGGGCCCACAGAGAGGCTCGAAGTCAAGTGGGGAGTGAGTCCCAGGATGAGCCACAGACCTCCCAGCTTCCAAGAGATTTCACTGGGAGCCAGGACAGGAGTCAGGGTCCTCAACCTTTAATGCCACTTCATCTTTAATGTTACAGCAGGCCTAAAGAATTACAGGGTGAAGAAAAAGGCAGGAGGGAAAACAGCATGGGGGTAAAAGAGAAGAGGGTCGAGAGAGGAGGACAACGAGCAGGGACGAGTTGGGAGGGGCCTGGGGTTAAGAGTCACCCTCTCCTGGGATGACATGGGCTGTTTTCCTCTCACACCTCTGCTTATCTCAGGTTTAAAGGAGCATACTCATGAACTCTTTGTGGGTGTTTCTCTGTTTCTCTGTGGTTGCAGTTGCTTTTGGAGGAGGTAATAAACTCGAGTGCCCTGAGCCCTGAGGTCAGTGCCTTGGTGGAGATGCTCTGGGCAGAAGCCCTCGGCCGCCTAGAGGACACGCTGCTGAGACCCGTGGGCATGATGAGCCTGAATGACGTGAGTGCTGTGTCCTGGAAGCAGGTTCTGCCAGGCAAGCCTGCCTCCTGCTTGTGGTTTAGAGGCCTGCGCCTCGTCTGAACAAGGCTCCCGCTGTGCTGCTGCTCTTCCTTCTTGCACTGGAGAGAGGGGCATGAGGGGTGCTGCTGGGAAGTGGGCTTCTGAGGAAACTAGAGTCCCATCTGCAGCATCAGCCTTGGGAGCAGCACAGGGCAGGTGCTGCAGGTCCTCAGAGAAGGCACAGACCCTGGTCCACTTCAGCGTGACTGTCTTGAGCCTTCGACCATGTGGGGAAGGGCAGGTGCACCTGCAGCCATCAGGAGGCTCTTCTTGATTGTGTACAATTAAAGGAGCAGGTGAAGAAGGTGTTCCCAAGGGTAGAGCATGTGTGGCTGCACCAGCACATTGAAATAACCCATGGAGAAAGTAATGGGGTCAAGTCCAAAGGAGCTTGTGTGATGAGAAAGGTGTTCTGGTGGGCTTCATCCCTGAGTCTGATCCAGATGTCTTTCTAAATGTCTCGTGTGGAAGGAAGTTCCCTGGTGAGAACTCCTCTCTGTGGACGCGGACATGGATGCAGACACACCAACACTCAGGACTCTGGTTCCCTCCTCTAGTTAAGTCCGGCCCAGTTTGGAAATAAGATGCATTTTCAACAGCATCAAGCTTGCTTTGTGACAGTGTCCAGTTGAAAGCTAATAGTCATGATGTATCTAAGAACCATTTTAGGTATTTTTTTATACAAGTTACTTTACTTTTTCTAGATTATCAAATTTTAATAATCATGTATCATCTTCTATTTAAAGGTGAGCAAGGCAGAGGGAATTCTCCTCCTGGTAAAGGAAGCAGTGAGAAATGGAGAAACACAGGAGCAACTGCAAACGATGCTGACCGAGTTCTACAGATTAATCCCTCACAGAGCTGCCACGGCCGAGAAGGTCAGCCTGAGCCTGCTGGCTAAGAAAGAGGACCTGTGCCAGGTAAGCCTCTGGGCTTACTGTACTTGGGGTTCAGTTTACACTTTGTGGGGACAGGAAAAAGGAGTCTTTCACGTTGGACTGAGGTAACACTGGATCACGAAATTTGGTTCTCGAGATAGCTCAAAAACAAACGGTTGAGCCGTTTGGGGGTGATTGGGGTCCTTACGGAAGTTACCTGAATCATACTCCCAAAGGAGCCTGTGTTGGAAGAGTGGTGCAGAAGCAAGTGTTTATTTAGAATTGTTATGCTGGGGACTTTCCTGACGGTCCAGTGGTTAAGCATCCGCCTTCCAATGCAGGGGATGTGGGTTCAATGCTTGGCCTTGGAACTAAGATCCTACCTGGTTACAGGCAACTAAGCCCACGTGCCTCATCTAGAGAAGCCTGCAAGGAAGACCCAGCACAACCCCCCCCCACACACACACATAGACTCACACACATACAAAAAGAATGTTCAAAATTGCTATGCTGTGAAATGACTTTCCGATCAGGAGATAAGTAGGATTCTTTCCTAGAAGAAACAGAAAGCTGCTCCTGACTTGAACAGTGAGGAGGCTTGTCATCCTGTAGGACGAGAAGTCCAGCTGTGGGGTGGCCACTGGTCCAGTTCACTCGAGGCTGCGACCTCACTGGGGCCTGGCCTCTTCCCACCTCTGTGCTTCCTGCAGGGGTGGCTCCCCCGCCCCGGCCAACTCCCCTTCCCACCAGCTCACAGAATCCCTCCTGGAAGGTTTCTTCTTATGTCTCTTGGAGGATGCCCCCAGTATCCTCTTATTTTTCTTTTTATCATTAGTTTTAAATTAAGTATAGTTCATTTATAATATTGTGTTAGTTTCAGGTGTACAGCAAAGTGGCTAGGTTTTATATTATATACACCCACAGATGTATACATATATATTGTACATATGCATATACACACATGTACACATATATATATACACACGTGTACTTTTTTCAGATTCTTTTCCATGATAGGTTACTGTAAGATATTGAATATAGCTCCATATGCTACAGTAAATCCTTGATTTTTTATTTCTTTTATATGTAGGGGTATGTATCTGTTAATCCCAGACTCCTAATTTATCCCTTCCCTTTTGTAACTATAAGTTTGTTTTCTATGTTTATCAGTCTGTTTATGTTCCATAAGTAAGTTCATTTGGCTTCCCTGGTGGCTCAGACAGTAAAGAATCTACCTGAATGCAGGAGACATGGATTTGATCCCTGGGTCAGGAAGATCCCCTGGAAAAGGGAATGGCTACCCACTCCACTATTCTTGCCTGGGGAAATTTCATGGACAGAGGAGCCTGGCATGCTGCAGTCCATGGAGCTGCAAAGAGTTGGGCATGACTTAGCAACTGAACAACAACAATATTGATTCCACATAAAAGTGACATCATAGATATTTGTCTTTGTCTGACTTACTTCACTCAGTGTGATAATCTCTAGTTGCATCCATGTTGCTGCAGACAGCATTATTTTAGGCATTATTTTATTCTTTTTTATGACTGAGTAGTATTTCATTGTATATATGTACTGCATCTTTATCCATTCATCTGTCAGTGGACATGGATTGCTTCCATGTCTTGGCTATTTCTTTAGCCAGGAGCGAGTTATATGTACATGGCTAAGCCAATTTCTGCTGAGGAGGATAGAATTACTGAGACTGCTTGGAAGTAGGGGAAGGAGCAGGCTCAGCTCACAGAGAACAGCAGGAAGGCAGATAGGGCTTGCCCCGTCCCAGGTGAGGCACCACCTCCTCTGACTCTGGGTTGCTGCATCTGAGCGTGAAGGATTGCAGACAAAATCAGAGATCCATGACCTCTAGACTTCAGAGGAGTTTGTAGATGTTAAATTTTGCTTGTGGGGGAAATTACAGCTTCCCACAGATTCCCAGGTAGTGCTAGTGGTAAAGGACATGATTGAAGCGACTTAGCATGCATGCACACACAGATTCCCAGAGGAGTCTGTAATCCAGAATATGTGAGGAACCAACAGATGAGATGAGCTAGTGAATGAGATGACGAAGGACCCTCCATGTTTAAAGTTCCATGATTTCCTCAACACTGAGTGTAACTTCAGTTCTTGGTTTTGCTACTGAGAGGATGTGTGTGCTGCCCACCCAAATACCTGGATTCTGTATTTTCAGTAGGTCACACATCCTCATGATTCAGAAGTCAAAATTATATTTAAAAGGTGTACTCTGTTGCACCCTGGCACCACCACCCCTATGCCAGCTCCTCTTCCCCAACACATAACCATGCTTGTTAGTGTCCTGTTTGTCTTTGCACCATTTCTTTATGCAAATAAATGTGAAAATAAGCAAACATACTTAGTCGTTCCCCCTTTTTCTATGTAAAAAGTCATATACTCTCTTCGCTGTCCTGCACCTGTTTTCTTTACCTGACATAGTGTACTCTGAGTGTGGAGATCACCCTCATTCTTGTCCTCGGTTGGGACGTGACCCTGGGTGGGCATCCTCCAGCCATTCCCGCCAGACACAGTGAATGACACCATGGGAAGTAAATGCTCTGTGTGTCTGGTGTCTTGTTCTTGAGCAAGGGCATCTCTGAGAGTCAGTCCCCGAGGGAAAAGTGCAGCCGGAAAGAATAAACATGTCAGTAACTGGGGTGATTTTGTCCGCCTCCCTGAGGGTTTCTCTCTGCTGCCCTCTCACGGCCAGTGAATGACAATTTCCATTTCCTGTTTTATGAGCTGTGTCTTTTTCAAACTTCACCACGTGTATAGACTAGAAACGGCCTCTTAGTGTAGTGAGCCTGAGCACCTTTCCAGATGTTTTAGGGATGTTTGTGTTTCTTCTTCTGTGAACTGTCTGTTTGTGTCCTTTGCCTCTTTCTCTCTTGGGTCTTAATGTTTTTATTCATGGTTTTTAGAACCTTTGTAAATTAAGAAGCTTAATCTGTGTTATGAATTGTGAATATTTGGCAGTTTTTGCAGTTTATTTGGGTTTCTTTCTTTACTCATACTGAGTTTGTTGGTGATGACAAAAGCTTATTCAACCTTTTTGAGAAATGCACTATAATATAAATTATTTTGATACGTGATCATTCGGACATGTATGAATCATTTCTACTTACAGCTAATAAGAGACATGGTTAATGTCTGTGAAACTAATTTGGCCAAACCCAACCCACCGTCTCTTGCCAAATACCGAGCTTTGAGATGCAAAATTGAGTATGTTGAGCCAAACACTGAAGAATTTTTGAGAGCAAGAGAAGACGTGCTGCAGAATAATCACAGGTAGGAATATAGGAGATAGGTGAGGGTCTGTTCTTTAACCTGCTTTAGATTCTGGTAGGGCAGATCTTCACACATCTAGATAATGAATCCTCGCTGCAGGGTAATTACGGTGTGATGACAGATACTCACTTCTGTGTCTATAATAGGGCTCAGAGCTGTGTTCTGTGCTTAAACACTCCCCACTGTTCCAGTCCATTCCAAGTTCACCTACTGTTGCACAGAATTAAATTCTAAAAATTTAGATGAGAGAGTATTGGAGTTTGTTCACAAATGTAGTGTTTGAGTGCTCAAGGGTATTGCACGGTAAAATCCACTCAAATTAAGATTTTAAGATGAAGAAACATGTTTTAGACCTCTCTGAAGCTGGCTGGCCTGCTGAGCAGCACAGGTCAGCTGTTTATTACCTTCTTGATCTTGTCTTATCAGGGTGTCAGTTCAGCAAGGCTGAGACCGTGTTTTCTTATTTCTGTTGCTGGTAGAGTACTTAGCACAGAGTATGTTTGTTGAATGAATGCATGAATGTTGAACAAAGGAATATATTCAATTCGTATATTCTGTATATTATGTTTGATAAAATATGGAATATTTTGCATGATGTTTTATAACCTACTTTTAACACTTACATTTTACTATAAGTTTTGTTTCACATCCTTACTTATTTTTAAGAGAGTATTCTTTAATGGCTGCATAGTATTTCCAAAAGATGTTGCATTGTGATTCATTGAATCAGATTTGGGCGGTTTTGGGTTTTCTGCTGCTGCTAACAATTTTTTTTATTGTGCTTTCAATTATGTAATCTCAAGGTTTTCTTCTAATTCTACAGTAAAAGTCCAGTGGACATCTTGCAGATATTTAGAGTTGGCAGAGTAAGTGAAACCACAGAGTTCCGGAGCCACCTTGGCAATGTCAGGCACTTGCTGCATGGGTCTTCTGTGCAGAGCTTCGTGGGAATCCTGTCCCGGTAAGAGCACACCATCTCTATTTTCCAAACTTTTCAGCTACAGTTAGACTTTTTTTCTGTAGCATGTGGATCTATTCCATTAAAATCAGCCAGCTTATTGAATTCCAGAGAAAACTGAACACTTTATAGTTAAGTATGTAATTTAAGTCATATGTTAATTATTATATATTTTAAAGTGCAGTGCATGGAAACGAATTGCTTCTTTTTTTGTTTTAAAGTTATTATATTTATTAGAAACTTGAAGAATGGGAATTCTCTATGTCCTGACTCTTCTCTCTGTATCTGACTCAAAGATAGTCTAGAAATTAGAGCTCCCGGATGCCATGAATTATCTATTCAAAACATAGCTCTAATTTCTGTTAGCTTTGAATAACACTTAATATTGGAGTTGAAACTGAAGTCACAAGGAACAAGGGAAATCATGGTTAAACCTGGATCTTAGTTAAATCCCACCAAAGACTTATGCAGGCTCCACCTGGAAAAAGCTTTAACTGCTTCAGAAGAACCCAAATACAAGCTGATTAGCAAGATACAGGTTTTCCTTGAATTGACCTATGCATTTTGTGCTGTCACAATAAGAATACTAACAATGGACTTCCCTGGTGGCTCAGTGGTTAAGAATCTGCCTGCTAGTGCAGGAGACACTGGTTCAGTCCCTGATCTGGGAGGATTCCAGATGGTGCGGAGCCACTAAGCCCGTGCACCACAGCTGTTGAGCCTGTGCTCTAGAGCCCGGAAGCTGCAACTACTGAAACCTGTCCACGCCAAAGCCCGTGCTCCACAGCAAGAGAAGCCACCGCCGTAAGAAGCCTGTGCACCGCAACTGGAGAGTAGCCCATGCTCACTGCAACTAGAGAAAGCCCACGAGCAGCAGTGAAGACCCAGCACAGCCATAATAAGTAAATAAACCTACTAACAAGATTTTTTTTTTAAGAAAAGCTGATTCTATAGCCCATATTTTTTTAAATTTGAATTTACCAGGGTAATTCTGAAAAAGAAGGATAACCAGAGAGGATTAACCAGTCAGATGTTAAAAACATAAAGTTTTATTTACTAAGTAAAACAATGAGGTGAGAAATAGATGAGGCAGCAAAATAAAAATCCACAAATAATGCAAAAACGTAGGGCATTTAATATATGATAAAATTAGCTTTTATCTCTATGAGAAAAGTATTTGCTTGAGTACCATATATGGATATAAATGGTTAACTGTCTGGAAAAAAATATAAAGTTGGATCCTTACTTCATTCCTTGCACAAACTCCATGTGGAGTGAAGATTTGAAAATTTAAAATGAAGCAGTAAAAACAGTCATTGAGTAAGTAAGATTATTCAAGTACATCCCAAAAACCATTTTACAAAATTAATTCTATTTCATAACACGGAACATAAACTTGAGATGTAATAAAAGGCAGGAGTCTCTCGTCTCCTACCTTCCCAGAGATAATCTGGTTTGTTTGATTGCAGAGAGTTCTAGAAAGCAGGAACCTGCAATGGGAGCACAGTCAGTCTTGGCCTCATGGCTGTTCTGCTGAGCCCTTCATGGGTCCAGCCTGAGGGTGGGCAGTGGCTAGCCAGCTGGCCAGGCTAGATGGTGGTGAGAAATGGCCTTGGCTGGGTCCATTTCAGTGGCACCTGGAATTCCTTACTCTGAGGTTACTTTGAAATACATTTTTCTTTTCACTTCATGCTAATTATTTATTTATTGACTTTCAGTTGGTATATTTTTTCCAGGTTTGTTGAGTTAATTGACAAATAAAAACTGTATGTCTTTAGGTTGTACAACGTGATTTCTTAAAGTTGTACAACATGATGGTTTAATATATGTATGTATTATGAAAAAATCTCCATGATCAAGTTAATTAGCACATCCATCACCTCACAGGCCTACCTTTTCTTTTTCTTGTGGTGAGTACAGAAGATCTAATACTATCTTAGCAGACTTCCGGTGTACAGTATCATCACAGTCACCACGCTGGGCATTGCATCCCCAGAGCGTTTTCGTCTTGTAACTGGAAGTTCGTGATTTTTTACTAGCACCCCTCCACCCTGGTAGCTTCCCCACCCCCAGCCCTTGGAAACCACAACTCTACTCTCTAGGTTTTTGAGTTCGACTTTTTCAGATTCCACATATGAGTGAAGTCTTGCAGTGTTTGTGTCTGCCTTGTTTCACAGAAGTCCTTAAATAGCTCCTTTCTTGGCCAGAATTATGAGGCTATAATGAGATTCCTTTTTTCTAGTAAACCACTATATTATTTTCCAGTGGGTTGCTTTTGCCCAAAGTAGTTGAAGATCGTGGCGTGAAGAGAACAGACATTGGAAATCTTGGGAGTGGGATATATTTCAGCGATTCACTCAGGTCAGTACCTTATCTTTTTAATCACATCATACACACCCGTCATCAAGGAGACCGATACTTATTACAAGTTTTCACCTGTCTTTCCTTGGTGAGGATGTCTCACCAAGAACAGACAATAAAAGCAGCCAGTTTTCTCAGTATATTGTAGAAGCCTGTCTTGTGGTGGATATTTGGGAAAATTACATTTGAAATCATCTTAGTGATTCTACTATCCTAAGAACTTTTACCTGTATTTACTCACTCATTCTCACAGCAAACCCCTGAGGTCAGGCCTTGTCACTCCCACCCTGATCACAGATGAGGACACTGTGGGACATTGGGGGTGACTTGCTGAAAGCCACACAGAACCTTGTCTTCTCCAGAGCCGGTGGTCTTGATTTCTCCAGCACATGACCTCGCTCACAGACAGGGCCTGGAATAATATCTGAGTCTCTCTTCATTTCAGCCACAGCACATTGAACTTATTAAGCACCAGGTTAAGTCCTTCAAGCACGTTGTTTGATAACCTCACAGTGGTATTGGGAATCATTTTATGAAGATGAAACATCTTCATAGAGTTTAAGTAGCTTGCATTCAGGTCACAGAACTAAGAAAATGACAGGTTCAGGCCCGGGACAGGGGATGATTATCCAGGAATTTAAGGAGTCCCCCCAGATCAATGAGAGAAGGAATATAAGCAAAGGGCAAAAGATATGAAGAGGAAACATGTATGGACACACTTGAAAAGATCAGTCATTAAGAACGTGCAAATCAAACCATAATGAGATCATTTCACACCTGTTGTATCGACAAACACTTTAACACCTTTAGGTGTTGGAGAGTCTCCCCTCCTGGAAAAGGGTCCCGTCATCTCATGGAGCTAAAGAGCAGCTGTGATAGTGTGACTCGGGGTTTGGGGGGCAGTGCACCCCATGCTGGCTGCACATGGAATCACCTGTGAGCTTTTGGACAGTGCTGGTGCAGAGTTCACCCGGATCAGCTCAGTCAGGGTCTCGGGGGCCAAGATTGGGCTCCCAGTAGTTTCTCTGCTCTGTATGTGACCTTAACACACAATCTGGGCTGAGAATCACCACGCTAGTAAACATTGGTATACGTAGACAAGTGGGGATTGGACAGTGGGGTGGGTGATGCGCTGGTGCAGTCCGACATCTCCGTGTGTGTGTGTGCTAACCAGGTGCTCTCCAGCTGCATCTGTCAAATGGATGAACCTTAGGACCAGACTATGGACTGACTCTCTCCACATAACATTATTACCGAGGGGCACGTGCCTATGTGCTGACACCGAGACAGAAAGACAAGATAATTATGCTCTTTTTCCTGAGCTGGCGGCAGCTACGATAGCCGTCTTATTATTATTCTTGAGATTTAACATTTATAGAATAAATGCTTTCCTATGTACAAAGTCTTCCCAAGTAAGCACTTTTATATGTTAAAATATTTTTCAAAAGGCGAACTGGCAGTCAGTTGAATTTAACCAAATTGAAGTCCTCAGTGGATATGGACAGTGGGGTTTTGCTGAGGAAGTGCAAACAGACCAGACGACAGTGGGTTGAGAGCTGGTTCGCAGACAAGCCAGAGAGACAGTTGCTGATGGTGAGGGGCGAGGAGGGAGGAGGGGGGATGAGGGGAATGGGAAGAGATGAGCAAGAGGAAGGTGGGGTAGTCAGGGTCCTGTGTTTATAAATATGGGGCACCCATCAGCACAAACAGAAGTGCAAGTTTTAGAGGTGTGTCCTCAACAGTGCCCCGCCAAGGCACCCAGCCTGAACTCTTGACACAACAGTTACTTTATTAAAGCTGTTGGTTTGTAAGAAAGTTAAATGGAATTGCTCGTTTGGGCATCACTTGACATTTTGTTTTTCCACTTGGATCCAGAAGGCTTCATGAGGGTGCAGCATTGTTTGTCCCTTGACCAGTTCTTACTTGGCATTTCATGTTCTTTCTGAACTTTAGTGCCAGGAATTAATCCACTTTTTCTTCTTATCAGGTGGGCTTCTTCCTTCTCTTTCTTCAGTCTGTATATTTTAGTAGCTGATAAAGAGCTGCCTAGCACAGCAGAGGAGCAATAAATGGGTGTTTTGCATAAAAATTTTAAATAAATAAGTAAATAGAGTTCTAAATGGAATCTTCAGAGATATTTCAGTAACAGTAAAACTTGGAATATTCTACCAGCAAAGTCGTTTGGATTCTAGTTTTCCTACATATATAAAACAGTGTTGCCGTGTAACTGTAAAGTAAAACACATATGTGCTTACTTCCTGTGACATGCAGTACGAGCATCAAGTACTCGCACCCTGGACAGACAGATGGCACCCGACTCCTGGTCGTCTGTGACGTTGCCCTTGGCAGGTGCATGGACCTGCACGAGCGAAACTTCTCCCTGACGGAGGCGCCACCTGAGTACGACAGCGTCCACGGGGTGCGGGGAACAGATACGGTCGGCTCGGACTTTGAGGTATTTCTATCAAGGCAGACAGACAGGCTCCTGTTTTTATCAAATATGTTTAAGTTTAAATAATTACTGTATAGCTACTGTCTGAATTCAACAGTTTCTAAGTTAACGAACATGAAATTCTGCTTTTATGAAAACATTTGCCAATGAAGTTTCTTTTCCTTTATTATTGAACTTCTGTTTTCTCTAGGATGATGAATTTGTTGTATACAAAACCAATCAGGTTAAAATGAAATATATTGTTAAATTTTCTGTATCTGGAGATGAAATAAAGGACTTTCATCCTTGTGATAATATGGAATTAGAGGAATACAGACCTGAGTTTTCAAATTTTTCAACAGTTGAAGGTGAGATGGCTTTTTTGACTGCTGTTCTCTGTGATGTTTATAAAACTTAAACATTGTATTTTCAGTGAAATTTATATTCATGTTTGGTAACTATATCTCTGATTTCTTACATAAACACTTCGTTTCCTTTTTTGTTTTGTAAAAACAAAACCTGGGGTGATTGAGAGATTGGGTGATGTCAGAGCCCCCTGTTACTTCATTAACGCACTGAGTCTGAGCCATCTACTGCCCCCAGAACCAAGTCCAGGTGTCACAGTGCAGAAGACGCAGCCTTAGAGTTCAGTAGCTTGCCAGTTACCAGGCTGTGCAACCTTAGACAAACCTCATAACCTTTCTGAGCTCCGCTTCTCCCCTGTGGGAATGAGATCAACACCTGCATTATGTGAAGGGGCTGCAAAGTTGCCACGTGCAGCTTGTGTGTCAGCAGAAGGTGACCACCTCTCAGAAAATTGTAAATTCAAACTAATATAATATTACTTGATAGCATTTAAAAACACATCAGCATTTTAAACTGTGATCAAATTATTTTTTATCAAAAATATATGGCTTCATGTAGAACATGACCCCTGTTTTCCGCTGGGAGTCATTAAGTGTATATCTCGTAAGAGTGTATCTGCCTTTCTAGCCCAGTCTGGCACCTTACCCACGTGACTCGTGAGGACACGGGCTTCCTGGGACTGAAGTCTGAGAGACCTCCTGTCGCTGCAGCTCTATGGCACAGTGACAGCACTGACTGAGCAGGGGGTGCAGAAACCCAGATTCATACTTGAGATACACTTAATAGATGTTCTGAAGACCTGTGTGTACTTGTATATGTTTAAACTCTGAATTTGTGAGACGACGCCACATAGCTGGTAGACTGAAAAGGCAGCAATCCCATTGGGAATGCTTCCCCTATCCCATCTCATGTGGGTTAACTTTTAAGAAATGGTGACTGAAAATCATAAAATGCTATTTGTCCACTTACCCTAAAATGTAAGGTTTGAAGGGAAGGGGAAGGAATAAAGGGCAGGTGACAGAAACAGACAGTGGAGGGAGGGCTTTCAAAGCTGATATGAATGTTTCTGACTTGCAGATCACCAGCTTCCAGGTAGCACGCCTTTCCCCGACATCAAGGCCGGTCTCCAGGATGCCTCTGGGAGTTCAGTTCCTCTGGAGGACGTTCACATCAAGGGAAAAATAATAGACTTTGTAGCCCAGGTATGTTCTTTGTGGTTTTGTGATGCTTAAACTAAACGAATGTAAATCATACACAAGAATTGGATCACAGTTGCGTGAACTAAACACATACATTTCTAAAATTTGTTCGTTGAGCACCCAGTGTGTGCCTGGGGCCATCCTAAGCTCTAGGTGAACCACAAGGAGCAGCCTAAGGAAAGCCTGCCTGGTAGAGGAGGACTAGGCAGTGCACTCAGGAAATAAATATGTAACATGGGCCTGCTGGAGAGAAAACCAGGGCAGGTAGGAGGGGATGGACTGATGAACACGGTGGCCAACAAGCCCTCCTGAGAAGGGACATCTGAGGTGCCTATTCCAGGTGGTGGAAGGGCATGTGCAAAGGCCCTGAGGCAGGAGTGCACCTGACATGGGGTGCACCGAGGATCAGGGTGAAGAGGGGGTGGAGGGAGCACTGAGGAGCAGTGGGGACACCAAGGAGCAGGGTGGAAGGGACACTGGGGATCAGCATGGGGACTGGGGGGCCTTGAGGAGCAGCGTGAGGGGGCCGTGGTTGGAAGTGCGTGAGGAGGCAGCGGGCACTCCTGTCAGGCACAGACTGACACGCGGAGTGAGCAGAAAGCCTTTGGAAGACACTTGCAGTGTAGTGACCTGTCAGAATTGTGTTCTCACGGGATCACTCTGGCCCCTACCCTCCTCCCCAAGTGGAGGACAGTCATAGGATAACCCGCTAGGAGACACAGTTCTGTCCAGGAACACACCGTGCAGGGATGTGGGCTGGGAGCAAGGCCTGCAGGGGGAGGGAGTTGGGCTGGCAGGAGAGACTGCCTGTGGTCCTTCAGAGGGAAGTGAGGCTGGTCTTTAGTGATCACCTGACTGGGGAAGGCGGATGTGGGGCGGGGAAGAGCCTGCCTGCCACCCCTGAGGCTAACACCGTGTGGGTGTGTCTGACCTCCACCCCTGCCCTTTCTGACCCACCCACACAACCCTGAAGCCGCTGGGGGCCCCGTGTCTGGCTGTGGGAAGGACCCAGGTGTGGGTTCCAGGCAGGGCACTACAGGCGCTCCTCTCTGTGGGGCCATATAGAAGCTGTGAGCACATGACTGCCACTTCCTGTGACTCAGGCTTCACCTGCATGTCAGTTCTTCCCAGACTCCACAGGGTGAGCGCTTGTTGTACCATTGTTTGAATGAGGAGGCATTGAACAATGTGATAAAGACCAGTCTGAGTCACTCCAACTGGATGGTCTGGGATGGATTGGTTTGTGGGGGGACTGGTGTTGACCGCAGCAGAGCCCTGGGGTTTGAGAGCCCAGTTTGGAGTTCATGCTCATCCTTCTCCAGCCTGGTCATGCGGTGGTTTCCTTGGGTGCAGATGAGATGGTAACGCTGGGCTGCCCTTTGGTGGTGGCTGTTCTGCAATGGTTTCCTTGGATGTAGATGAGACGGTAACGCTGGGCTGCCCGTCGGTGGTGGCTGTTCCCTGGTGGTTTCCTCAGATGTAGACAAGACAGTAATGCTGTGCTGCCCGTCGGTGGTGGCTATTCCACATAGTGAACGTGAGGGCCCCGGTGCACACAAGTGTTGCAGGAGCAGCCTGTGTCCTTCATGTGTCACTGTGGATTAGACACTGTTTGATGAGGCTTTTCCATGGAAGGGTTTGCCCCACACATAACTCGTAGTGCAGCCATGAACCTTCCTCTCATTTCTGGATAGCTGGCCTGTTGTCTGACTTGAGTGTCCACACAGAGCCGGCAGCAGGGAACTTGGCTGTACGTGGCCCACTCTGGACTTCTCGGAGTGAGCTTAATGTTTTCAGTTTAACAACTAAACTGAACTAAAACACTGGTTGCATTTGAAGGAGGAAGATTAAGATGTCAAAAATGTTACAGTGTATTAGTTTCTGTTGTAAGTCCTAGTAAAAATCCTCCATCATCTTTACCTAAAATTTCTTTCCTTTTGGTGACAGCGCATCATCAAAAGCAGTGACTTGGATGGGGTCCTGACCTCTGGGGCCTCACATGCATAGCAGTTTCCATTAATAGCTGTTCCTGCAAACATCGTTCATGCGGTTTCATCAAATATATGGGTTTTTCTTCTTCAGGTCGTTGTTTTTCAAACATACACAAACCAAAGTCATGTGCCCATTGAGGCAAAGTATGTTTTTCCCTTGGATGACAAGGCAGCTGTGTGTGGTTTCGAGGCTTTCATCAATGGGAAGCACGTGGTGGGAGAGGTAAGGGAGAACCCCAACTGCTCTGTGGGATGGGCCATCCTGAGTCCCTTAGTTTCAGGCTGAGTAGCAGCCTTGTCATAAAACAGGATGTTCCTGGAAGAGTCAGGCCCTTGTACAGCCAGCCTCCACTCAGACATCTGGCGTCCCTCTCTGGTTAGCTAGCATCTGTTCCTGCCTGTCCAGATTCCTTGTCCAGGCACTTGAACAAACAGTGATTTCAGTATCAAAAGTTTGAGAGACACATTGGAAAATTAGTGACGCCCTTTATGTATTTTTGCAAAAATACTGATCCTTTGTACCCTGCTATAAAAGCCAACTGAAGTGAAGAAAAATATGTCCAGAAGAAGTATAAGTTGATTAATTCTTTGTTTATTCTAAGAGTCCACAGTTGCAATAGTAACTTACATTTTATCAAATTTAAGACGAACTTCATTTTTTATTTATTCAGAGTAAAGCTCCAAACTTCCTTTTCACTATCAACTGTCAAATATTTTGGTCCCAGCTTTTAAAGAGCATCCTCTTCAATTGGCCTTTTCTGATTCAAATTGTTATTAGAAGTACATTTTTATGATCGCTGTATGTAAGTTTTCATTCATCTTAGCCTTCTTAGCTTAGCCTTCTGTTTTTCCCTGGGTTTTAATAAATGTTGATGAAGTTTTCCTTATTAAAGTCTGAAGTCACTGTTCATATCGTGACTGGTACAACACTGTCTTTTTCAGATTAAAGAAAAGGAAGCGGCCCAGCGAGAGTACCGAGTGGCGATCAGTCAAGGCCACGGCGCCTACCTGATGGATCAGGACGCACCCGTAAGACTTGACGTTCATCCAAGTCAGTCCCACGTGCTTGCTAGAAAGGGGAGAACAGGTGGAAATTGATTTAGAATATGAAATTCTAATTTTCATTAGAAACTTAGCATATGAAATTCTAAATTTCATTAGAAAGTGGGATCATTTTTGCTGGTTTAGGCCCTGGAGTTTCATGTAGTTGGGAAGGGAGGTTGGGCTAGTGAGACCCATGTGACTCGTTTAGATAAAGGAGGAAATGGCCAGGGTCACCCAGCAGATCCTAAGAGCCATTTCTGTCCTTGGGAACTGCGATCCCCAGACATGACAACAGAAAGAAACTATGTGGGCACATAATTTCCATCTTCCCATAGAAGGGTAAGATATTTACATTTCCCCCAGAACTAAGCTCACTTAGCAGTTTATCCAGTTTTCACCAGTTGTGTCTCAGGGAGGCGCATCTGCAGGGCCTGGGCTGGGTCCACGGTTAGGGTTAGGTCTCCCCAGGGTCAGATGTGGAGATCTGGGAGGAGGAGCCACAGGGCCGCATCCACGCACTTCTTATTAAGTATGCCTTAGGGAGGTGCTGGGCCACATGCAGCCTCTCCAACGTAGACACGTCAGTCGTTTCTAAAGACAGGCCATGTGCTTCAGACACACCTCGGAGGAGGACTCATCGCCAGAATACTGTCAAAATGTGATGTTTGGAACAGGCATTAAAGTTATTAAAATTACAATAGATTTAAGGGATAAATCTGCAGAATGGGGATTAACAAGAAGAGGTGATTGTTCCACAGGGAGCTCGCTGCCCCTGTGCTCAAGTGCTGGGTCCCCTGGAGTCCCTAGAGGGACATGGTGCCATTACACAGACCCCTAGTGCTCTTTATGCAGGTGGAGGCCCAACTTGGAATCCCAGTGTTTAAGCGGTGAAGTAACAGGAGAGGTTAGATTAAAAAGTTAATGGAAAAACAAAGAGAAAATTTGAGTGCCAAAAGCAAGGCTGGAGACGGTGCCCAGCCTCTGTGGAGAAGCCCCGCAGGAGTTAGACCCCTGTGTCAGGAGGCCCAGGTGCCCTAACCATGGGTCCCCTCTTCCTCTGAGGGATTCAGCTGAAATTCAGTTCACCTGGCTGCCTGGCAGCTCAGCCTTCCTTTGGGTTTGGGACAAGTTAGGATTGTGTAGGTGACCCGGGTGACACCACGTGGGTGACAGCTGGCACCAATCCAGACCCTGTATCAGCAGTGCCACCATACACCTCCGGTGGCACCTCTCCAGTAAGCTCTGGTCTCCATACCCTTCCCTTGAAGCCAAGTGCTCCTGCCGTGTGATAATCCTGTCTTCGTTGTTTGTTCCCACCTTGATGTCAAAGATAACAACAGTTGACCCCTCAAATCTACATTAATCGTAATATCATACACCCCTAATCTAAGCACACTGAGTTCAGTGAAACAGAGCACAGGCTTGGCCATGTCAGGAGGCATGAACCCAACGTGGGTTCAGAGGAAATGATCCAGCCTCTTTCTGACCTCACTAGGCATGAAGTTGTTTCCTTACGCAGTGATTGGCAATACCCGCTTAAGGAAAGCAAAGCAATTATTCTGAAATGTAAGATGATGAATTTTCTAGAAAAGAGGTAAATGAGGGCCAAACTTGGTGTGACAGGCTCAAGCTCTATAGCCAGCAGGAGTCTTCTGGTATACTGTGTCCACAGAGAGGCCTTGGGGTTGGGGAGGTAGTCTCTAGGAAGGGGCGGGCAGGCATCCTGGGCAGAGCCCTGCGGCCACAGAGAGGCCATAGGGTTGCGGGGGGGTGGGGTGGTCTCCACTGGAGCAGAGGCCACTGGGTGCAGCCTCTCGGACCCTAGACCGCTGGGGAAGGGCCCTGGGTTCTCCTTCCGCACAGCTAATGGTGGTCCCTTTCTCTGAGGAGGAAGCAGGCAAGTTGTGATCAGACCATTTATGTAACAGGAGGGGATCGCCTGCAGGATGGAGATGCTTCTGAGACACAGGCTAAGTCATATACTTCCATTTCAGGACATCTTCACCGTCAGTGTCGGGAACTTACCCCCAAAGGCCAAGGTCCTGATCAAAATCACCTACATCACGGAGCTGAGCGTCCAGGGTGCCTGCGTGGTCTTCTTCCTGCCAGCCACTGTGGCGCCCTGGCAGCAGGACAGGGCTCTGAGGGAGAACCTTCAGGTCTGTTTGGCAACAGCAGCTTTATTGTGATTTATGCAGACGGAAGACACAGCATCTAAATAACCTAACCTTTGAGGCATAGAGTCAATTGTAGTGACATTTAGGATGCTTAATGGCATCCTGTTTTTATTCTGTTCAGTCTCTTTAAATTTTATGTTGGTACTGCGTGCTCATGAAGAATTTTGATAAGCATAAAGAACGCCAATAAGCCAAAGAGGAAACTTTAAACCATCCTTAACTCCGTCTCCAGTGATGCCACCAAAGCTTCTGTTGCTGCTTTCCATACAGTGTTCAGACTCCCTGCTTTGTGTGCATCTGTATAAATTGTGTACTTGTGTGTGTGAGTGTGGATTCTTGTGGTGAAACTGAGCAGATACTTAGTTGTACGTATGTATTTTTCTTTTCTCAGGATACAGTGGAGAAGATTTGTATAAAGGAAATAGGAATAAAGCAAAGGTTAGTACCTAAAATACAAAACCTGTCAATCATTCAGTGAACATTCATTTTATAGCTTAAGGTATCATTTAAAATTACACAGAGAAAAATAAAAATAAAAAATAAAATAAAATTACACAGAAGAGCTGCATGTAGTTGGTCAGTAATTGGGATGTTGAACTGAGCCACCTCTCTGTTCACTTTGGTAGCTTTTCTCTGAGCATGTCTGTCGAGATGCCGCACATGATTGAATTCATCTTCAGTGACACACACGACCTGAGAAAAAAGGTTAGTAGGTCTTTGCTTTCACTTCTTAGGAACTCATATTTTAACATCAGTTTTCCAAAGCAATACATGCATGTGGTTTAAGTTAAATTACACCAAATTACATCAGCTTATAATCAGGAGCAGCAGCTGGTCCTGCCCCACCCCTCCCCATACCACACCATCCAGGGACAAAGACCAGACTTCTCATGGTTTAGCTCTTTTCTGGTGGCTTCCAAAGATTTCATTAAATTTTTTACTGCTTGTTCTAAACATCTGTTCCAGAAGTTATCTTTTTTTTTTTTCATGTGTGCTTCTGTTTATTTATGTTATGGCCACTATGCGTGTGCACCTTTCTTTTCAGTCGTTTCCAACTCTTGGCGACCCTATAAACTAGCCCACCAGGCTTTGTCTGTCCATGGGATTTTCCAAGCAAGAGTACTGGAGTGGGTTACCATACCCTCTCTCAGCGGATCTTTCTGACCCAGGGATCGAGACCCTGCATCTCTTATGTCTCCACTATTGACAGGCAGGTTCTTTACCACTAGTACCACCTGGGAAGCTCTTATGGCCATTATATTGAATATAAATTTTTACATTTGCTTTTTTCACTTGACTTTGTATTGTAAATATTTTTGCAAGTATTCGAATTATTCTGAGTTACAGCTTTTTATAAACGACTATCCATTGTGACTGAAAGTGAAAGAGAGTGAAAAAGTTGGCTTAAAGCTCAACATTCGGAAAATTGAGATCATGGCATCTGGTCCCATCAGTTCATGGCAAATAGATGGAGAAACAGTGGAAGCAGTATCAGACTTTATTTTTTGGGGCTCCAAAATCACTGCAGATGGTGATTGCAGCCATAAAATTAAAAGATGCTTACTCCTTGGAAGGAAAGTTATGACCAACCTAGATAGCGTATTAAAAAGCAGGGACATTACTTTGCCAACAAAGGTCCATCTAGTCAAGGCTATGGTTTTTCCAGTGGTCATTTATGGATGTGAGAATGGACTGTGAAGAAAGCTGAGCGCCAAAGAACTGATGCTTTTGAACTGTGGTGTTGGAGAATACTCTTGAGAGTCCCTTGGACTGCAAGGAGATCCAACCAGTCCATCCTAAAGGAGATCTGTCCTGGGTGTTTATTGGAAGGACTGATGCTAAAGCTGAAACTCCAATACTTTGGTCACCTCATGCGAAGAGTTGACTCATTGGAAAAAACCCTGATGCTGGGAGGGATTGGGGGCAGGAGGAGAAGGGGATGACAGAGGATGAGATGGCTGTATGGCATCACCGACTCAATGGACATGAGTTTGAGTAAGCTCCGGGAGTTGGTGATGGACAGGGAGGCCTGGCATGCTGCGATTCATGGGGTCGCAGGGAGTCAGACACGACTGAGCGACTGAACTGACTGACTGACTGATCCATTGTGACTATATAAGAATCTGTTTATCATTCACCTCTTGTTAAGTTTTTAGGTCCTTATTTTGTGGTTGTTGATTTTAAAAAAGCTCTCCAATGTCTATCTGCTTGTCTTCTGTGGTCTCCATTCCTTCTTGCTGGAGGATCTTTCTCTGTCTAGTCTTTTCTTCTTAAGGCTGCCAGAGGTATCTTTTCTCTTTCTGTTATGGCAGATGGAGATATAATCCTCTTGCCCTCCTCTCACTTCAGTGCACATGTTTCTAACCCACTTATTCCAAGAGTTATAGTATGGTTTTTAGTTAATTTGCTGCTATTATTTAGTCACTAAGTCCTGTCCAACTCTTTGCAACCGTGTAGACTGTAGCCCTCCAGGCTCCTCTGTCCATGGGATTCTCCAGGCAAGAATCTGGAGTGGGTTACCCTTTTCTCCTCCAGGGGATCTTCCCAACCCAGGGATCAAACCCACGTCTCCTGCTTGGCAGGCAAGATACTTTACAGCTGTGCCATCTGGGAAACCTGGTTAAATCAATGGTAAATGCTTAAGTTATTATGAGTACATAAATGATAATTACACTGAGCCAAGAAATGTATTATGATGGCTTTTTTTCTTTTTACTTCTTTATATAATACTTCTTGGGGGGGGGGAATTGCCATTTTCTTTGTCTTCTAGTACTGTTTCTTCTCATTTGTTCTAACCTGTCATGTAAAGTCCCTCTGGGGCTGTTTTTGCTGTCTCAGTGAGTCAAGGACTCCTCTTCCTGACCCTGCCCGCTCGCCTGGGGCTGCTGTCCATGAGGCTTTTCCTCTTTAGTTCCCAACACCTAACAGAGCAGAGCCTCCCTTACAACCCAAACGTCTGAAGACATCCTCTTCTGTATGCTCCCTTCCCACTGGGTAGGTGATCCCACTTAGAACCTTGAAAAAATTTTCATCCCACCCCCCAGTGTTACTTCTGAGAGGTTAAACCTTTTTATCCCCTGTTCTTGATAGGCAGTCGTTTTGTTTTTGAGCCCTGAAAGGATTTTATGTCTTCTCTTTATCCCTGATGTTCTGAAAGTTCATCAGAACCTGACATTCTTTCATCATATATGTAATTCATGGCCTTTAGTTCTGGGGGATCTTCTTATGTTTTAATAAACAAGTGTCCGTCTCCCCTTCACCTCTCAGTGACTCTTAGTCAGACCCTGAATTGAGACCTTTGTTTTCTTACATTTTCTCTCCTATTGTTCGTTTTCTTGTCCTTTCATCCTGCTTTCTGGGTGATTTTCTCATTTGTAAGTTACAACCACTTTATTGAAATTTTAATTCTCTTTTTTTTTTTTTGTTTGGCAAGAGCTCTTTACTGTTCTGTAAGTATTCTCTTTTCTTCTGGCTTTTTGCTCAGTTGGCCTCCATTTTCATGTTTAAAGGCTTTTCCTCCAGCATCTGGGTGGCCTCTCTCTCTGTTTGTCCTCAGAAGTCAATTAGATGCTGTGTGGTAAGTGGGGCAAGTGGACCCCGGGCCTGCGCTCAAGGCTGGTGGCAGCTGGTCCGCTGGTGTGGGGGTGAGTCTCTTGTGTGTTTTCACCCTTGCGCGGTTGTGCAGACTACCTCAAGGGTGTTCACAGGTATGACTGGGACACCAGCCTTCACTTAACTGCTCTCTGTGTCTGTGCTTCGTTATACTTAGGACTCCCGAGTCTGGACTCTACTTGGTTGAATTTCTCTAACTAATAAATCTTCAGTTTCCATTAGTGAGAAAACAGGTGTCAGCTGCTTGCTACCAAGGGCAAGGAGGGGACCTGGGCTGACAGCTCAGGGTATGATCCGCTCTCCCGTGCCTCCGAGGGGTCCTTCCCAGGGAGCTGCAGGCCCTGAGCCCACAGCTTGCAACCGCCCTGCCCTGGGGCTCGGGCAGTGGCTTCCTCTCCTCTGGCTGAATCACTTCACACAGCTCTGTCAGCTCTCCATCTTCTTATTGAAATTTGCTGGCATCTTTTCTGCCTTTATCTTTGTTCCCATTCTCAATGTCTTTATCCCCTTTTTATTGTAGAGAGTTTTGGGATCTTGCTAGGGAATAGAGTTGTCTCTGTGCTCAGTCGTGTCTGACTCTGCGACCCCATAGACTATAGCCTGTTAGGCTCTTCTGTCCATGGGATTCTCCAGGCAAGAATACTGAAGTGGGCTGTCATTCCCTTCTCCAGGGGATCTTCCCAACCCAGAGATTGAAGCTGTGTCACTTGTATCTCCTGCATTAACAGGAAGATTCTTTACCACTACACCACCTGGGAAGTGAGGGAATAAAGTTAAACACATGTAAATAATACATCTTCAACAAGAACCACTTGGCATCAGAGAGCTTTTGCTGTATAACAAACAATCCCAACATTTTGTGGATTAAAACAATAAGCATTTGTTGTTTCTCAAGCTTTCCTCCTGTTGCTGGGGACAGGATGGCCTGGGACAGGTGGCTAGTGGCCTGGTGTCACCCAGGGTGCTGGCCCTGGTCTCTCACCTGCCATAGGTTAGCTCAGAGCTCAACACAGCAGAGGAGGGCAGCCTGTTCCACAAATACAGCACAAGCCCCTGCCTGCATTCCGTCTGCCAGCATCCCCTTGGCCACAGCACATTCAAGGGCAGAAAAATGGGCATGACCTCCTGAGAGGAGGAGCTGTAGAGTTTTACTACAGAGGGCAGGCCCAGAAATCTACCACACTGCCTTTGTCACTTAAAGCCTCCACTCTGTATTTTCAGAAGGTATTTTATACTTAAAAAATACTATTTTACAATAAAGGCATAATTCTGAAATTCCTGTTGGATTTTCTGTTTTACTATTCTGTGTTGTAATTATCTTCTGCATCCAGATAACGGGATATGCAGAGCAATCACCTTTGGGTCCAGGGTCTGAGACTGTCTCCAGGGGGCTGAGTTTGCTTGTGTGTATCCAGAGTAGATAGAGAAGGAAATGGCAATCCACTCCAGTATTCTTGCCTGGAAGAGTCCATGGATAGAGGAGCCTGGCCGGCTACAGTCCATGGGGTTGCCAAGAGTCAAGCACAGCTGAGCGACTGAGCACATGTACCTTAGAACCAAGAGGATAAAAATGTGATCTGGTCACACTTGTAAAACCTACAGTTCACAATTTGGGGTTTGTTGACACATTGTTGATTTTTAATAGAGTTATGTAAATCATGCACAGATTTGCTACTTGATAGTATGGTATAATTCACTTATTTACTTTGTTCTCACGGTTGTTTGTTTTGCAGAGAACAGACTGCAAAGCTGTGATTAGTACTGTGGAAGGCAGCTCCTTAGACAGCAATGGATTTTCTCTCCTCATCGGTTTGGTTGATGTGTATCTCCCAAGAATGTGGGTTGAAAAGCATCCAGAAAAAGAAAGCGAGGTATAGTCCTTTTTACTTAAAAGTAGGAGATACGGTTGAAAAAGTATTTTAGAATAGATCATTTAAATTTGGAAATGATTGATAATCTTGAAAAGCTCGCATTACAAAAAGAGCTCTCACCACCCCAAGATTTTACAGTTAAAAATATTCGTGATAGAGGAAATTCCCTGGCAGTTCAGTGTTTCCACAGCAGAGGTTGCAGGTTCGATCCCTAGTTGGGATCCCTACATGTGAGAGGCACAACCAAAAAATATTTATGACATCGAGAATGAAAAATTTTTGTGGTTTCAAGCAAAGCCCCCATGTGGCGTGTTTCCCCTAAAAATTGTCATTTTTACCTTTGTTATTGTTTAGTAGCTAAGTTGGGTCTGACTCTTTTGCGACCCTATGAACTGTTGCCCACCATGCTCCTCCATCCGTGGGATTTTCCAGACAAGAGTACTGGAGCTGGCTACCATTTTCTTCCTCAGGGGATCTTCCCAACTAGGGACTGAACCCGAGTCTCTTGTGTCTCCTGCATTAGCAGGCAGATTCCTTACCACTGCACAGCTGGGAAGCAATTTTTACCTTAATAGTGTTCATTGCTCAGTTGTGTCTTGACTCTTTACGACCCCTTGGACTGTATCCAGCCAGGGTCCTCTGTCCATGAGATTCTCCAGGCAAGAATACTGGAGCGGGTTGCCATTCCCTTCTCCAGGGAATCTTCCTGACCCAGGGATCGAACTCGGGTCTCTGGATAAAGGCAGATTCTTTACTGTCTGAGTCACCAGGGAAGCCCTAATTTTTTTTTTTTTACCTTAATCCCTACCAAAAAGAAAATGTGTCTTCATATATTACATTGGTTAGTCTGTATACTTTTTACAGCTTTTAAAACATTGCTACTGTAAAAAGATACAAAATTATTTATGGCTATTAGACCATATTATGTGGCTGTTATAAATAGTCTCTTCTAATTAGAATAAAAATTGAGAGCAACATTAACAAGATGGTCAAATGAGACATCCTTTGAACTTACCCCATACAAATGGGCAACAGGTTCATGAAAAGATGTTCAGCATCACTAATCATTGAGGAAATGCAGATGAAGACTACAAAGAGGTATCACTTCACACCTGTTAGAACGACTGTTTTCAAAAAGACAAGATAAGTATTAGCAAGGAAGTGGAGGAAAGGGAACACTCCGACATTGTTTATGGGAATGTAATCCAGTATAGCTGCTGTGGGGAACAGTGTGAAGGATTCTCAAAAAGTAGAACTACTAGGACTTCCCTGATGGTCCAGTGGTTAAGAATCCACCTGCCAGTGCAGGAGACAGGTTTGATTCCTGGTCTGGGAAGATCCCACATGCTGCAGAGCAGCTAAACTCATGCTCCACAAATACTGAACCTGTGCTCTAGAGCCTGGGAGCCGCAACTCCTGATGCCCAAGTGCCTTGGAGCCCGTGCTTCCATCTCTGCAGTGAGAAGCCCAAGCACCACAACTAGAGAAAGCCATGTGCAGCAACCAAGATCCAGCACAGCCAAAAATAAATAATAAATAAAATAAACATTAAAAACTAGAACTGCTGTATAACCCTGCAATCCCACATCTTGGTATATTTCAAAGGGAATGAAATTACTGTCTCAAATACTCACACCCCAGTGTTCATTGCTGCATTATTTATAATAAAGACATGGAAACAACCTAAGTGTCCTTTGATGGATTAATGGATAAAGAAAATTAAATATATACACATATGTGTAACACATACAACACATATGTAATATATGTTACCTACACATACAGTTGAATATTACTCAGCTGTAAAAAATAAGGAAATCCTGCCATTTGCAACAACACAGATAGACCTTGAGAGTATCAAGCTAAGTGAAACAAGTCAGACAGAAAAATACAAATACTGTATAATCTCATTTACATGTAGTGTCTAGAAAAAGCTGAGCTCACAGAAACAGAGGGTAGAATGTTGGTTGTTACCAGGGCTCAAGGGTGGAGGAGTAAAAATAAGGTGGTATTGGTCTCAGGATACTAATGTCTAGGTATAAAACAAATAATTTCTGGGGATCAAATATGTAGGATGATGACTGTAGTTAAGCATACTGTGTTGTGTATTTGAAGGTTGCTAAGAGACTAAATCTTAGATGTTCTTGCTGCTGCTGCTGCTAAGTCGTTTCAGTTGTGTCCGACTCTGTGCGACCCCATAGACGGCAGCCCACCAGGCTACGCTGTCCCTGGGATTCTCCAGGCAAGAACACTGGAGTGGATTGCCATTTCCTTCTCCAATGCATGAAAGTGAAAGGTGAAAGCGAAGTCGCTCAGTCGTATCCGACTCTTAGCGACACCATGGACTACAGCCTAGCAGGCTCCTCTGTCCATGGGATTTTCCAGGCAAGAGTACTGGAGTGAAGATATTCTTGCTAGCTAACCTTATTGTGGTAGTCATTTCACAGTACTATGTGCTAGATGATTGCACTGTAAATCTTGAACTTATATTATGCTGTATGTAAATCATGTTTAGTAAATCTCAGGCAAAGTTTTAATGGAAACTAATAGTAGTTCTGTTTTGAGTATTGGTTGGTTATAAGATAAAAGGTCAGTGTGTGCATTTCAGTCATCACACACCACAGTGGCAGAGAGTGGACATATTCATTATTCATTCATCCTGAAGACACTTTTGATATCACAGCAATGTTCAGATATTAATTCTGTATTAGTTCTGAACCTCTCAGGGGTTCATGAGGTTCACATTGGGAACCCCAGCTCTGACATTGTGCTTTTTATTTGATCTCCTATAGGCCATCTCATTGTTGAATAAATCTTATTCTTTTTGTTTTTATAGTATTATTTTGCCTGATTAGAAAGTTTTCAGATTTTACAAGTAAATCTTTTTCCAATAAAAATTACACATTTATGCCAAATATTGCAAATCCTAGGTACATGTGTATCTTGTTTGTACCTTAGAGGGTTTTGTGAGATACTGCTGCTGCTGCTAAGTCGCTTCAGTCGTGTCCGACTCTGTGCGATCCCATAGACAGCAGCCCACCAGGCTGCTCTGTTCCTGGGATTCTCCAGGCAAGAATACTGGAGTGGGTTGCCATTGCCTTCTCTTTGTGAGATACTAGGCTTGTACAAACTCAAGGGTCTTTGAAGTGCCACAGCTGAGTGTGGTTTAAAGGGGCAGGGTAAGTTGCTGAACCCTGTAAGTAGCAAGAATTAGTACCTTTTCATTCATCTTGCCTGTGACGTGGGTTGTTGTACAGTGGGTATGTTCCTGATGAAGTGCACACTCCTATGTACATTAGTGTGGGGTGTATCTCCCATCTGGAGGCTTAGAGGATTTTTTTTTTTTTTTTGCCAGCCATTCCCACTGACAAGTGGCACATTCCCATGAGGGTCTGAGAAGTGGTGAGCAGCCATGGCCCTGAGCCCACAGAGCCTCATTGTTTAGGTTGATGACTCTCAGTGCTTTGTAACTGTCCTGACTATGAGTCCTTCGTTTAGAAAAGCTGTGGCATCGGTTTTAGAGTGAAGTTCTGGGTGCATGTAAGTAACCAGACGAACTCAAGTGATAAGAAGCACCAGCTTAGCTCCTGTTTTTCTCCCTTTAGGCCTGCATGCTTGTGTTTCAACCAAATCTTGATATTACCATCCCTGATGAAGCTGAGAGGAGTGAAGTGATTATTTGTCTTGATTGCTCCAATTCCATGGAGGGCGAGACGTTCCTGCAAGCCAAGCAGATTGCCTTGCACACACTGTCCTGTGTGGGAAAGGAGCAGAAGGTGAACGTCGTCAAGTTCGGCACAGGTGAGTTCTCCGCCCTGCGCCTCCTCCAGAGCGTCAGCACATCAGTGGAAAGGGGCGACTGTGACCTGTCTGTGGAGTGAGAGGCAGCACAGCGAGGTTCAAGAGCAAGAACTCTGGAGCCAGGTCCCCGGCTTGAATCCCAGCTCTGCACCTGAGCCCTGGGTGTGGCCTTGGGCAGCTTACTGGAACTTGGTTCTCTCATCTGTAACAGGAGAGAAATAGTCCCTCCTCATAGTGCTGTTGTGAGGGTTGAGCTCATGTATTTAAAGGACTTTAAACAATGCCTATCATATAGAAAACGCCAGATGAGTATTACTGTTGTTATTGTTACCAGTTGAACTGAGTGTGAGACCCTTGGTCTGATGAGTTCGAGGGTCCAAGGATCAGGACAGAACCTCTGAAATCAGCAAGGTGGTAGAGGAGCTGTAAGGAACAGTCTCAGGAGGCACCAGACGAGCCCCACTGAAGAAAGAACTGTCCCCTCCAGGTAGGGTCCAGGGGCCTTTCAGCCCCTCGGAAGGAGCAGTGTGGGGTGTGGGGACAGCCACACCCTGCTGATTCTTATTTACTGTGCTGTTTGGCGGAACTGGCAGCCCCTTCATGAAGGAGGAAGGAGCCAGGGTCTGCTGCTGCTGGTGGGGAGAGGTCAGATGAGCAGGGACATGCTGAGGGCCAGAGGGCAGCGTGACCTGCTGCCTGGGCTGTCCCCATGTCCTGTGTCCTCCTCTGCATGTAGTTGGCTAAGGAGCAGACTCCCCATGCGCAGCCTGACCCAGGTCCTTTTTGTTCAGTGAAGTGCATCATTTGAATGCAGTAGAATTTTTTAAAGGAGTACTGTGGTAAATTTTTTTTATGTATTAAAAATACCAACCATTATTGTTTGTTAGTGGTCAAAAAGTGAATATTTAATGGCAACATCTTACGCCAGTCTTATCACACAGGTTACAAGGAATTATTTTCATATCCTAAGTGCATCACAAGCAATAAGACGCCCACAGAGTTCATCATGGTGAGTACCAGTAGCTGCCTCTGTCTTCTCTCCGTCAGGCTTCAGTGGTTCTGCTGGGTCTTTCTCCCCAAGAAGCCCTAGTCCTCCCATTTCTGTATGCGGATGGGCTCTTTTAGTTCATTAATAAAAGTGATATGAACTCATTAAGAAAATGGAAAATAAAAAAGAAAAATTCATTCACAGTCCCACCATCTGAATACAGTCAGCATTAACAGTTTTTAATGTTTTGCTCTGTCACCTTTCTTTCTTTTTTTAAATTCAGCAAATTGGGAATGACCAATTGTGTCCTCAGTCCAGACTAGCTGGCAATCCCAGGGGTGTTTTGATGTAATAGTTCTTTGAAAACCATAAAGAAACAAATGTCAAGTAATAATATTATAGGTACTGTGTGACATGAAATAAACTAAAAGGATAGTTGTTCCACAAATAAATCATTAGGAAAGAACTTCCTTTAGGTGACGATAACCCTCACTAAGGAGTGTGTTTCAGTAAGTGATTACAGTTGGTGGTGAAGACACCCCAAAAGGAGTAAATGATCTTTTGCTTCATTTCCTCCAGTCTGCTACACCTACCATGGGAAACACAGATTTCTGGAAGACGCTTCGATACTTAAGTTTGCTGTGCCCTTCCCATGTGTTACGGAACATCCTCCTTATATCCGACGGGCATCTCCAGAACGAGAGTCTGACCTTGCAGCTTGTAAGAAGAAGCGTGCCGCATACCAGGCTGTTCTCCTGTGGGGTCAGGTGAGCACAGGCGGGCCGGTCCCATGGGGAAAGTCAACAGGTGGGAGCTGCTTGGTGCAGAGGGGCCGGCTCTGGACTCGGCCCCAGCCGCTACCTGGGTCGCGGAGCCTGAGCAGCTGCAGGTTAGCCATGACTCTGGAGGGACACCTTCACCCTCTTCTGTGAGGTGGAGATGACAGTGGGTCTAATAGGCTTACTCTGAAAATCTCGTGAACTTGTATACATGGAAACAGCCAGCAAGCTCCACTTCAGTGTTGGAGACTGTTACTTGCATAATTGAGCCTAACCTGGTGGGCTGGGCACACCCAGGGCTGATGGTCACCCCACCCCACCCCACCCCACCCCACCCCCGGCCACTCTGTCCCTTCCCCGAACCCCTCTGACTGCTGTCATTTTCTCACTGGCATTTGCTCACCCTGCTGTGTATAGGAATCTTTCTCTAGAGAAGCTAAAACCCACGACTTTAGGGATTTACTCCCTCCCCATTTATAGCTAACGTTTTCACATTGAATTGAGGATTATGGTGTAAAAGTAAGGAAGACAGCGGAGAGCAGGGGCCATGCTGGCATTTGCACACAGCATGCCTGACGCTGTCTCTCTGCCCTCCCCCACTATGAGGTCACTGTCCTGGCCAGTGGGCATCGGCCTCGCTGGGCAGCACGTCCCTCTGCACAGGTGGGGGTGAGGAGGGATGTCCAGGGCTCTCCTACTCACAGTCATAGAGCAAAGGGAGCAGATTGTGACTGGGGAGGGAGGTGACCCTGAGCTTGGACACAGTTTGTCTAGTTTTTAATGTCTTTCTATGAGTTTCTTCTTCATTTTATATGTACGCATTTGTGTTCTCATGCTAACCACATTTCGTGAGTCTTCAGGAGCAGAGACTGTTTATCCCACCTGTTTAACAAGTGGTCCTCTCAGGCCCACACAGCAACCTCACTAACCCGTAAAAACTGTAAATACATAGAGGCTCTGGCTTAAGGATTATCTAATCAGTGTTGTAATCAGATCAGTTAGTTTTGATCACCGAAGACATACCCAGCGTTATCAATAGGCTGAAGTATATTTCCAAAATATCTTTCTTAAGCTCTTTTTCTGAAAAAATTATAGATCCCTTGTCTAATATTTCAGGAGGAACTTCTCTAACAGAGTACTCTTGATTAGTTGTAGAATAATTGAGAGAAATGTAACAGAATATTGTCAATTAAATATCAAAGATTACATTTGCTGGAATGAGAGTTACTTCCTAGTTCTTTGTCATCTAAGTGTGGACCAGATTTTAAGACGAAGGCTTGGTTAACTCCTCTGTCAGCCTTGACTTTAGAATCAGTTAAGGGCAGCTTTGACATTCATTGAGAGTGGATCCCAGTCACCATCTTGGTCACAAACACTCCGGGGGTTTCTCAGAATAATCTTCTCCCTCCTCCAGTGAATCAGAAGCCAGAAATTTATGCTTTTTTCTCTTGTGAAAGAGACATGAGTCTTCTGATATGTGGGAACTTGGATTACCCAGACCTGCAGATGTTTCCTACTTTCTGGCCTAAGTTTTATATCTGCCTTCAGCTGCAGAACATAACGTGTCTCCCACTGAGTCTTAAACTGTGTCAGTATTCATTACGTGTACTTCAACATGTTTCTAAAATTCCGTTAAAATTAAAACGTGAAATGTTATCAGTTCTACAGCAAATCGTCATGTCTTACGGACTCTGTCCCACTATGGTGCTGGAGTATTTGAATATTTTAACTCAAAATCCAAACATAGCTGGAAAAAACAGGTATGTGTCTCAAACATCTTATTTCAGTCTTATGTTTAAATGTGGAAATCTTATCTTCTTGGAAATCTAGTGACAGTAACTTCTGTTTTCATCAACGGAAAAGGGAGCTAGAAAAAGGCAAAAAGGTACCCACCTTTTTGCAACCCACCCTTAGTTACCCCTAGCCTTCCCCCCCACCCTTAGTTACTGCTAGGCTTGCACAGGAAACACTCCACTGGGGTGTTCTTCTAGCTAAGTTTTTTTTTTTTCAATTTATGTATTATTGCATGGATGCAAGCCTTAACCATGGTTCTGACAACATGAATTCCTCTTCCCATCTCTAACCACTGATTACTATAAACCTCTGCATATTGTTTATTTTAGCCACATCGAGCCTGGCCATTTATTCCATCTTGTCATCTTGATGAGCTTCAGATTCAAAGCACACACTAACCAGAGCTCTGCAGGCAGTTGTAGCTAGTGGTTTGATTTCTGCTTTATATAATGTCATGGGTTGATTTTTAACAATGAAATATTACACATTTTGCTCTAATTAATTTTTTATTATGGCAAAATATACATAAACTACCATTTTCAGGTGTACAATTCATGGTTTTTAAGTGAACTCACAGTCTTGTGTAGCCATCACCATGATCTAACTCCAGAACATTTCCATCATCCCAAACAGAAGGTCTGTCCCTAATTCTTTTCTTTTTTTGGCTGTGCTATGTGGCATGTAGCAATCTTAGTTCCCTGACCAGGGATCAAACCTGTGCCTCTGCAATGGAAGCACAGAGTCTTAACCACTGGGGACCCAGGGAAGCCCCTCTACCCCCAGTTAAACAATGACTCCTCGCCCCTGCTCCCCCAACCCCTGGTACCCACCCTCTTCTGTCTCTGTGAACTTAGCTCCTCTAGGAACCTCATATCAGTGGAATCCAGCAATGTTTGTCTTTCTGTGCCTGGCTTTTTCATTTGGCATAGTGTTTTTGAGGTCCATTCATGTTGTAGCATATGTCAGAATTTTCTACCTTTTTAAGGCTGAAGAATATTCTGTTATATGTGTACACCACATTTTGTATATCCATTTATTGTCACCAGACCCCGGGGTTGTTTCTGCCTTTTGACTGTGAATCATACTGACATGATGATTGGTATACAGGCATGTGTTGGAGGCCCTAATTTCAATACCCAGAAGTGGGATTGCTGAGTCATGTGGTAACTTCACTTAGTGTTTTAAGAGCTGCCATACTGTTACAATCCCACTAGCAGTGTGCCAAGGTTCCAGTTTCTTGCACATCACCATCAATACTTATTTTCACACTTTTTGATTTTATATAGCCCTCCCAATGGATGTGAATTTGTATCTAGTTAAGGTTTCGATTTGTATTTCTCTAGTAACAACATCTTTTCATGTGCTGATTGGCCATTAGCATATCTTCTTTGGAGAAATGTATATTCAAGTCCTTTGCAGGGTTAATTTTTATAACTGGAATCTACTACACGACAAAGTTGTATATTGGTGTTTAATTAATAGAATAATTTTAAGATGTTTTGTGAATTTAAATTATGTGCTAGTGCTATTTGACTTAGAATCCTTTTGGAAATGTACCCTGTAGCAGGAAGGAGGAGAAAAAAACAAAGAGCTACAATTCTCAAAGGATAGAATGTAAAGTCGTGTAAGTGTTAGGTAACTATTTTCTGAATGTAACACTGAAAGAGAAATAACCCCTCTTGATAAATAGATAGAAGCCCAGATGGGTAGGATGAGTTCTCCCAGTTGCCACTCGGTCTCCGTCAAATGGCAGCAGCTGAGCACGGACGCACCCGCACCCCTGCAGGCCCCCGCCCAGGTGCAGTCCCTATTCCACAGCGAGCGACTCCTCGTCTATGGGCTCACGCCTCACTGTACACAGGTGAGGAGCACGCAGGCTTTTTATTATGGGAACAGCAATGTGTTTTGCTAATAACTTTCTTTTTCTTTTTTCTTCCCTTTCCTTTACCCCCACGTCATAATATGCTGCACAGTTTTTCCTGGGATCACAGTGGTTGGTTAACCAAGGGCACTGGAGAGCCTCTTAATTCTCATTAAAATCACTGAAAGAATCACTGTTGAACTAACCAGGACATTATGAAGTTGAAAAACTATAAGGAATTTTTTTCCCATTTCAGGCAACTCTACATGCGCTAATTCAAGAGAGAGAGTATTCTACAGTGGTGTCAACGACTGAACTTCAGAAGACAACTGGAACGGTGAGTTTAAAAATGTAAACTGTGCTCGGGCCTGGTGCACTGGGAAGACCCAGAGGGATCGGGTGGAGAGGGAGGTGGGAGGGGGGACCGGGATGGGGAATACATGTAAATCCATGGCTAATTCATTTCAGTGTATGACAAAAACCACTGCAATGTTGTAAAGTAATTAGCCTCCAACTAATAAAAATAAATGGAAAAAAAAAATGTAAACTGTGCACTCACTGTTTTTAAAAGTTAAAATAGTTCTGTATTTTCATATTTAATGCACCACATCCTTCCTGCATTGTTTTCTGTGTTGACGTCTTAGCACCTGATGTGATGTGGAGGGTTGTCATCTCCACAAGCGAGGACACTGTCCATTGGTTTCTAAGGCAGCAGCTCTTCATCCAGGGTCTTGAGTCCAGAAGTATCCACAGGGGCATCAGTGGGCATAAATAACTGCAGTTAAACCTGGTGTTTTGTGAATGAAACCTTTAAAGGTGGTTCTTAAAGATGTGCACGTCTTCCTACAGGTTCAGTGTACCTGCAGTGCCTGGTCCTTGCCACTTACTTTAGAATACTGAGTATAACTGTACTGGATGACGAGTAAAACATTGTACATTGAGGATGTGTTTTTGTTTTTTCTACTTTTGGATTAAAAGCAAATGAATTTGTAGTATTTGCATTAGTACCAAATCTGCTATAGTCACATCTGGAAAATTCCTAAGCTGTCTGCTGTATGCCTGGAGAATTCCATGGACAGAGGAGCCTGGTGAGCTACAGTCCATAGGTTCGAAAAGAGTCAGACACGACTAAGGCAGTAACTACTACTACTATTAATAGGAGTATTTACGTAACCAGACAAACCATTCCTTATTTATATCTGTATAACCAGACACTGCTGTGGCTCAGTGGTAAAGAATCCACCTGCCAATGCAGAGGACGAAGGTTTGATCCCTGGGTTGGGAAGATCCCCTGGAGAAGGAAATGGCAACCAACTCCAGTATTCTTGCCTGGGAAATCCCATGGACAGAGGAGCCCAGCAGGCTACAATCCATGGGGTCACAAAAGAGTTGGACATGACTTAGTGACTAAACAACAAAAATAAAGCAAAGCTTTCATTTTGGCATTGAATGAAAGCACTTAACTTATTACTTGCCATGACTTACGTATAGAATTTAAGGGCATCTTTGTATCGTCTGAAAAACTGCTGAATCTCAGTGGGATTTTACCTAGGAGCAGGTCATTTTCCATAAAGTCACAATTTTTATAGTTGTCCTTCCACTGTGAATCATGGCCTTACCAGTAAAAAATGGCAGGAGTTGGAATTGTCACTTACAGGAGACATTGCCTTTTGAGTCCTGTTGTTTCAGCCATTTGAGGAAAGGGCGGTGCCCTGGCCCTTGACTTCCTGATGCTCTGTCTGTGGCCCCTTCAGAGTGGAGATCACAGTCAGGCCTCACAGCCCTGGGCTGTCTCTTTCAGTAGAACAGTTCACACGTGTATAGAAAATGCCAACTATAGGGACAGAATGGAGACGAGTAGGTGCCAGGACTGGAGGTGACTGCACGGCGACACGACACGAGGTTTTATTGGGAAGAAATCCCCTCCTCTGTGTTTCAGTGTTGCTCACACACTGTATGCATGTGTACTCAGTCACTTCAGTCATGTCTGACTCTTTGTGACCCCATGGACTGTATCCCTCCAGGCTCCTCTGTCCATGGGATTCTCCAGGCAAGAATACTGGAGTGGGTTGCCATGCCCTCTTCCCAGGGATCTTCCCGACCCAGGGATCAAACCCTGGTCTCCTGCATCGCAGGCAGATTCTTTACAGCTGAGCCACCAGGGAAGCCCCCCACATACAGTCTGTGAAAGTGAAAGTCGCTCAGTCATGTCCGACTCTTTGCGACCCCATGGACTATACAGTCCATTGAATTCTTCAGGCCAGAATACTGGAGTGGTAGCCTTTTCCTTCTCCAGGGGATCTTTCCAACCCAGAGATCAAACCCAGGTCTCCCGTATTGCAGGCGGATTCTTTACTAGCTGAATCACCAGGGAAGCCCACACACCATCTACATTAGTTAAAACACATCAACCTGCACACCAAAGGGATGAATTTCATTGTATGTAAACACATCTCAATTATTTAGATGATTTCCTATGTATGACATGAATTAGAATCATTTTTCCTTTGCTGCCTGAACAGATGATTCACAAGCTGGCAGCACGAGCTCTGATCAGAGATTACGAAGATGGCATTCTCCACGAAAATGAAGTGAATCACGAGGTTTGCTTTTTCACGGGAAAGCCATTGTCTGTTTTTCTTGGCCTTTCTTGAGTTGCTTTACCCGTGGAAATGTGAGTGAGGATCAGCAGGTGGAAAGGGACCCCTGTCGTCATTGCTGTGTTTTCCGTGCTGGGGTGCCAGGTGCCCCGTAGTTACTTGATTTAGTTTTTAGTTAGCTCGTTGAATGAATTATTGACAGAACCCTGTGATTATTGTCCCCGTCAGAGGGAGGCAAAGGAGACTCAGACGACTCCCTCAGTGCCTGTAAAGACACCACTTAGGTGCTTGTGTGTTGTAGGGTGAGTGTCTCCATCTGTGATGAAGAGGGCGGGTCTGGGGGGCTGAGCTGCCTGCAGAGCTCAGCAGAGCCAAGCCTACCTTGCCTCTTCATCACTGAGCCACTGAGGCCCTGGCAGGGGACTCCCTCTGCTACCCCATACCCAGAATGACTGCTGTCAAATGATGGCTGGAGCATTAGCGCTCAGCATACTCCTCCCCAGGTAGTTGGTTCCCTCAGAGATCAGCGCCCTCCTTCCCACCCTCAGGTCAGCAGCCTTGGTCCTGCTTTGCTCAGGGTCCTTTTCCATCTGAGGGCAGCTGACCAGCCACACCAGCAGACCAGCCTGGACCAGTCCCTCCACCTCCCGACAGCCTGGGAGCCTCATCTTTACAGTGAGAGACAGACTCACTAAGGTCTTGGCAGCTCAGCAGCCAAGCCACAAGAAGCTCATGAATATGAATCGCTGTTTCTGTACTTTAGCCTCTCGTTGGGCCCATTTTTTGCAGGAAATGGCAAGTTAGCCACTTGAGATACTTAGGCAGAGCCATCGACTCAGTGTTGCATTGGAAATCCTAATTATAAAATTATCTACTTCTTACAGAAAGCTTTTTGTATTATGTAGTACTCATTTAATTGGTCATATATAGCTAAATAGTGAAAAATAGGACATGATTTCATTTGTTATTCATTATTATTCTGTCTTATTATTCATTTTTCCTAGATGAAGAAGCAAACCTTAAAATCTCTGATTATTAAACTCAGTAAAGAAAACTCTCTCATAACACAATTTACAAGCTTTGTGGCTGTGGAGAAAAGGGTATGTATTTTAATTCATGGTCATTTTATCTATATTTGCGTGCTAAGAAGCTGACTCTTGCCTTCACTGACACTGGTGCCCCATGCGTCCACGGGCCTCTCATCCACGCAGAGCACAGGGCTCGTGTGATCTCTGCATGAGTTACCTGTGCTGTTATTTTAATGTTATAGTTGAATTAGTACACAATTAATAAAGATGAGAAATGCCAAAAGTGTAACAAATAGTTGAATATGTGAATTTTAAGATATACTACAATTTGTTACATTCTTGGCATTTCTCACTTTTATTAATTCTTGACCCTCAAAAAATAAGAGAGGCCTGGGCTCCCCTTACCCTATGAGTGGCCCTTTCTCCTACACAGTTTGAGAGGAGAGCCCGCCAAGGCACTTGATGTAGCACCACCCAGCGGGTGCTCTGTGAAGGGGACCCTCACCCCAACCTGACCATCCTCTCTCCCAGGACACAGGATCCAATCCGACCCCCAAACATATTCCAAACCAAACATTCGTGAGGCTTTAGAATTTATAATAATAATTTAACATGATAATGTCTGTTTTCTCTTTACCTGATTGTGATTCAATATAGGATGGTAATGAGTCACTTTCTCCTGATATTCCAAATACTTTGGAACTTATTGCCAAAGAAGACATAGATTTTCTGCCATACATGAGTTGGCAGGGGGAACAATCAGATGCCAGCAGGATGCAGGTGAGTGTTGATTACAAATCAGTTGATACTGTGTGTTCATGCTTTTATGATGGTAAGGGGAACCCTTCGCTAAAATAGCACCCTTTTGATCTGTATACACAGATACCGATGTCTGCCTGATGATGGGAACTTTTGCACATTTTTAAAAATGCTGTTATGTTACTGAGAAAGGCTCCATTTACAAATGTAGCTATAAAGTACAGAAGAGGAACAATTGTGGTTACAGACAAACTGTGGTTCAGGAAGCCAAAGGCCTTCCCTCTAAGAGAGACAGGCAGTTCATCCTGAAAGTAGTGATAAAAGCCTATCTAATCATCTGACTTCACCACCAATATTTATTAAAGTTTGTGGTGCTTTATGCTGTGGCCTTTGTGACCACATAATAGAAGTTGGGAAGCACAACTTAAATAAAAACTGGAAGATGTTAGTCACTAGTTGTGTCCAACTCTTTGCAACTCCATGGACTCCCACCAGGCTCCTCTGTCCTTGGAATTCTCCAGGCAGGAATACTGGGGTAGGTTGCCATTCCCGTCTCCAGGGAAATAAAACCTGGAAGGCATATACAAAAGCAAAGAAACAAAACAGTGGTAGTAAGACTCTGGAGTATCCAAGTTAGAGAAGTAAAACTACCAATATTTAAGGATTTAAAATCCAAGGGAAAAAATTTATGTGCTTCCAAGGTGGCCCTAGTGCTAAAGAACCTGCCTGCCAACACAGGAGACGTAAGAGACACCAGTTTGATCCCTGGGTCAGGAAGATCCCCTGGAGGAGGGCATGGCAACTCACTCCAGTATTCTTGCCTGAAGAATCCTGGACAGAGGTGCCTACAATTGGTGGGCTACAATCCATGGAGTTGCAAAGAGTCTGACATGACTTGGCAACTAAACAACAAAATGTAAAGGATCTTGGCTAGCTAAAACAACTTTGAAAAGGAAGAAGAGGTTGGAGGCCTTACACCCACCATCTGATATCTTACTATAAAGCCACAGTAAGTAAGAAAGTGTGGTATTAACATAAAATGGACATCTAGACCATTGGAACAGTGTGGAGAATCTAGAAATATATCCAGATATATAGGGCCAATTGTCTCCAGAGGTACCAAGGTATTCAGTGGGGGAAAATGATCTTTTCAAAAAATGATTCTGAAAAGATTGTATAGTCATGTACCAAAAAACAAAACAAAACCCCTCTACCCTTAGCTCACTCCATATAAAAAGATTGACTGGATTATTGGCTTGAATGTAATGACTGAAACCTGAATTTCTGGGAAGAAAACATAGGAGAAAACCTTAATGAACTAGGGTTGTACAAAACTTTCCTAAATTTAAAGAACAAACTACAAAAAAAATTGGTTAACTGGACTTTATTAATATCAAAAACTTGTATTTTTCAGAAGACTCTGTTAAGAAAATGAAAGGGCAGATCACAGACTGGGAGAAAATGTTTGCAAAACATATCTAACAAATATGCTTATCTAAAATATATAAAGAAATCTTACAATCCGATAATAAGAAAACAACCCAGTAAAAAAAATAAGCAGAAGATCATTTTAGAAAACTCTCAGTTTCTTAAAGAGTTAACTATACACCTATCATTTGACCCAGCCAAATGAAATGAAAGTATATGTTTACACAAAGACTTGTGCATGAGTATTCACTGCGGCTTTACTTGTAGCAGCCAGAAGTTGGACACGACCATCAGGAGATAAATGAATAAACAAATTGTGGTACAGCCTTACAAGAGTAACTACTCAGCAGTAAAAAGGAGAAATAGTGTTAGTCTCTCAGCCGTGTCTGACTCTTTGCAACCCAATGTACTGTAGCCTGCCAGGCTCCTTTGTCCATGGAATTCTCCAGGCAAGAATACTGGAATGGATTGCCATTCCCTTCTCCAGAGGATCTTCCTGACCCAGGGATTGCACCCAGATCTTCTGCATTGCAGGCAGATTCTTTACCACCTGAGCTACAGGGAAGTCCTGTAGCTCAAATAAAGGTTAAAAAGGAGAATTAACCATTGATATATACAACAACATACATAAATGTCAGGACAGTTATACTGAGTAAAAGTCAAACAAAGAATGGAAGCTGTAAGCTTCCATTGACACAAAATATGTGTAAACCAATCTGAAGTTACAGAAAGCAAGGAGGAGGAGTGAGATGGGTCACAAAAGGGTACGCTAAAGGAGTGTGTGCTGAATATGTCATTCCCCTCTGTGACAATGGTCTCAGGGATGTTTATTTACTCCAGAACTCATCACTCTAAGATAAAGCTATGTGTGTCAATTATACCCAAATAAATCTATTTTGAATATATAATTCAATTAAGTTCAGTTCAAATTCAGTCACTCAGTCGTGTCCAACTCTTTGCGACCCCATGAACCGCAGCACGACAGGCCTCCCTGTCCATCACCAACTCGCGGAGTCCACCCAAACGCACATCCATTGAGTCAGTGATGCCATCCAACCATCTCATCCTCTGTCGTCACCTTCTCCTGCCCTCAATCTTTCCCAGCATCAGGGTCTTTTCAAATGAGTCAGCTCTTCTCATCAGGTGGCCAAAGTATTGGAATTTCAGCTTCAACATCAGTCCCTCCAATGAACACCCAGGGCTGATCTCCAATTAGCTCTAACCAAATTGCCTTTTTGCTTGTCCAACTCTCTGTGGCCCCATGGACTGTAGCCCATCAGGTTCCTCTGTCCGTGGAATTTTCCAGGCAAGAATACTGGAGTGAATTGCCATTTCCTACTCCAGGGGATCTACCCAACCCAAAGATCAAACCTGCCTGTTTTGCATCTCCTGCATTGGTAGGCAGATTCTTTATCTCTAGGGCCACCTGAAAGCCCAGATTGCCGCTACATAGGTTATATCAGTTCACTCTCCCATCAGCAGCACTTGAAAGGCTGTTACTTTATTCTCTCTTTAACCCAGTATATTATTCAAATTTTTGATCTTTACAGATCTGATAGGTTAAAAGCATATTAGTGATATTTTAATTTTCATTTCTTTATGAATGAAAAGGAACATGTTTTCATATTCCTAAGAGCCCACATACTCATCTTTTCTAGGTATTGTCCATTAATGTCTTTTACCTTTTTAAATTGTGAGATTAGCCATTTTCTAATTTATTTTAGGAAAATTGTATTTTCTAAGAAAATTAGGCCTTTATGATACTAGTTGCAAAAATTTGTTTCTCAGTTTGCCATTTGTATTTTGATGTTGCTTATCATCATTTTGTCATGCAGGTATTTTAATGCAGTCAAGCTTTTTCATCTTTGGGTTTCTTTGTTCTGTATTGCTTTGTCTTTTGTCATGCTTAGAAATCTTTCCTTCACATATTATGCTTTTTAAAAATTTCCCATGATTTCTTTCTTTAAATAGTTTTATGGCTTCATGTTTATGTTGAAATTTGCATGCAATCAGAATCTTTCCTGGTATAAGACAGGACATATGGGAACAACTTTATTCCTTTCCAGATGACTTCCGACTTTCCCCAGCACCACTTATTAAATAAATCTTCTTTTCCTCGAATTGATTTGAGGAATCTTTGTTGTCTTTATCATCTCCTAACTCCCCATATGTGTTAGGATCTGTTGCTGGACCCTGTATTCTGTTTCCTAGATCAGTCTGTTATAATTGTAATTTTATAAAAGTCTTCAATGTCTGATGGGTCTGGTCCATCACTTGCTCTTTTTTCACTTTGCTCATCTAATTAAGAAAAATTTAACCAGATATGCATTTGTAAATCTTATTTTGAAATGTGTGTCTTGTCCTGTGTCCTGCAGTATTAATTATATGTGCTGAGCTATGCTTAGTCGCTCAGTCATGTCTGACTCTGTGTGGCCCCATGTACTGTAGCTTACAAGGCTCCTCTGTCCATGGGGATTCTCCAGGCAAGAATACTGGAGTGGGTTGTCATGCCTTCCTCCAGGGCATCTTCCCAACCCAGGGATTGAACCCAGGTCTCCCGCATTGCAGGCAGATTGTTTACCCTCTGAGTCACAAGGGAAGCCCAAGAAGACTGGAGAGGGTAGCCTATCCCTTCTCCAGGGGAGCTTCCCAACCCAGGAATTGAACTGGGATCTCCTGCATCGGAGGAAGATTCTTTACCAGTTGAGCTACCAGGGAAGCCCCATTAATTATTTAAATATACACATTTGTCTGAACTGGGAAGGGACTACTCCTTTAAAAAAAAAACACAAAACTCCTTTACATTGGTAAAACTAAAAGCTGATTATTTCTAAAATATCTCAAGGACTAGTAATTCATATAAAATTTGATTTTATTTACATGCATATTTTAAGGAATATTCTTTAAAATTTATTCAGATAATAGTAGTGACAGAGCATCCCTCATTCTCTTTTTTTTATACATTTTCATATTCTAGTGTAAAAGACATTACTTTAAAACTTTGGAGATTTTTTTTCAGTTTTCTCCTTTTCTTAATATTGCTATAAAGCAGTATAAAAGACTGGAATAATTTCATTCTGTCATTTATTTTAGGGCTGCTAAGTTGCTTTAGTTGTGTCCAACTCGCTGTGACCCCATGGACTATAGCCCACCAGGCTCCTCTGTCCATGGGATTCTCCAGGCAAGAATACTGGAGTGGGTTGCCATGCCCTCCTCCAGTGGATCTTCCCAACCCAGGGATTGAACCCACATCTTTTATGTTTCTTGCATTGGCAGGTGGGTTCTTTACCACCAGTGCCACCTGGAAAGCCCATTTTAGGACTAATTTGACACTATAATATTGCTTATTGTCAAGTCTTTGACAAGTCCCTTTTATGGTCCTCAGTTTCCTCTTGTGGAAAATAAGGGTGTTTAAAATTCTGTGATTCTAAGAACAGAGAGAGATTAAGATATTTGGTGTATTTACCGCTGACACCGTCTCCAGCTCTCCAACTCTGTGTCTATAAATGAGAGCACTATAGGTAAGTGACCCTGAGTGTCTGGTCTTCTCAGTGCCCTGGGACAGACAGTTTCATCAGTGCTGGGAGGTCAGCTCCAGGAAGCCTGGATGCTTGATCATCATCCCCTTGACTTGTGCTTTCCTTATGTTGTCACTTCTCTTTCTGGCAGACTCTTTCAGCATCCTCTGAATGGAAGCAAGAATCCAAACGTAAATGTAAACTTAAATGTTGGACTGAAAAGAAACGTTCAGCACTTAACACGAGACTTTCTGAAGATTTTGAAGCTTTTAGCTTCTATGCCCTGGAAGAATCTGAAGCGGTCAGTTTTGTCTTCAGGAATGCGGAGGAGCCCTGGGGTTTGGGTCCGATGGAGTCATCTAAACAAACAGAAGTTAAACCACAATTCACAGAAGCCATCTCACAGAAAACAGCCGTTTCCAACATTCCTACTGCCCCTAGCTTCTTAACTGCACCCCTCCATGTTGGCTCTGCTTTCCACCATCATCCCAGCTCAGCACTGTTTGGTTCTCCAGCTAGTCCCAAACACTTCAGTTCCCCTAAGAAGTACCTGGAGATGGGCAGTTGGGCCGACGTTTCCCTGGACATGGCGTCTTTTCCCAGGCTGCATCTCCAGGGCCCACCCTTGCGACTTGCTGCTGCTCCCAGGGCCTCGTATAGCTCCAGGTCACAGCTGCCCAAAACTGATCAAGGGGGTGCCACAGGCTTCGGTGTCCACCCTGTTCAGCTCTATGTTGCTTCCTGTCCTTCTACAGGTCTTCACCCTAGTCCACTCGTGGGGTCTGTCTTTTCTTCCCCTGCCCCTCCTCCCCCCCTACCCAGGGGGGTTGTTCCCCCTCCTTCCCCTCTTCCTGGGGGGGTTGGTGTTCCTCCTCCTTCCCCTCCTCCCCCTTTACCTGGGAGGGTTGCTGTTCCTCCTTCTCCCCCTCTTCCCCCTCTATCTGGGGGAATTGTTCCCCCTCCTCCCCCTCTATCTGGGGGGATTGTTCCCCCTCCTTCCTCTCTACCTGGGGGGGTTGGTGTTCCTCCTCCCCCTCTTCCCCCTCTATCTGGGGGAATTGTTCCCCCTCCTCTCCCTCTATCTGGTGGGATTGTTCCCCCTCCTCCCCCTCTACCTGGGAGGGTTGCTGTTCCTCCTCCCTCTCTTCCCCCTCTATCTGGGGGAATTGTTCCCCCTGCTCTCCCTCTATCTCAGGGGGTTGGCATTTCTCCTCCCCCTCTTTCCTCTCCTCTTCCTTCTCACCATATTCCAGCTCCTAGGAGTGCCAGTTACAAGCTGCCAGTGGCTCCATCTGGCCCTGCTGAGGATGCCCAGCCAGACGTTACTCTGTTAGCTGTGTATGATGAACCTCTGTCATTAGACTCCCTCCAACGTGATTGTTCATTTTTTGAACGTTCTTCTGAAACGGAAAGTGATAAAACAGCAGGACTTCTGGCAAGTAGGATTTTTAAAAAGATGGCAAAATATGACCTGAGAAGTGGCTTTACTGCAAGCGCCCAGGCACAAAAAGATGAGGGTGGCCTAGTTGGCAAAGCAAGCTGGAAGAATTATGTGCCTTCGACTGAACTCTTCAGGCTTCAGACCAAGGTACTAGTGTTATCTCTCCATATATCTGTGCTTAATTAGCTTCAAAGTTCAGGATGGTGCTACACAAAGTAGCTACTCACCAGACTGCTGCTGGTCCACACTGACATGAGGAACTGGTGCCGGAACGCAGCTTCCTTCACTGAGAAGCCAGCTGAACAAACAGTATGCTTGAGGATAACTGGTTCTTACCTATCTATTTTTAACTGTTAGGCCAGAATATCATGGAAGGGAGTGTTAACATTCCTCAGTTGAAGGTCAGCATCCCTGAGTGGGTCCTGGGGTAAGACATTAATCTCCTAGGTTCTAAAACTTCTGAACTGCAGTTCACAACAATTGTCACATTGCGAAGTAAAGCACAAGTGTTGTAAGTACACTCTAAATATTAAAGTTCACAGGAATGTGACTCAACATGTGATCTTATATTAGACATTATCATTCCATTTGTGAAGGTAAATCACACTCTATAAATTTAGTTCTTGCACTGGTACTAAGACCCAATCTTACGTCTGTATTTAAGTTGTTTTGATGTAATATGCTCAATCGCTCAGTCATGTCTAATTCTTTGCAACCCCATCCATGGTAGCCTACCATGCTCCTCCATCTGTGGAATTTTCCAGGCAAGAGTATAGTAAAGTAGAAAAGTAACTTGGTTTAGTGTCAGTTCAAGTCCCAGCCCTTCCACTCTGAGATCTAGGGCAAGTCAGTCTTTCAGTCATTCACGCAGTGGGAGTAATAAAAGTGTCCAGCTCTCAGAAGGTAGACCAGCTGCCAGCAGCCCCCAGCTGGAGAAGCGCATGTGGGAGCAGCAACTCTCTGAGCCAGAGTGTTGGGGGTTAGGTCCTGCTGCTACTGCTTGTCAGCCATGTGACTTTGGACAACTTGCTTAAGTTTTCGTACCTCAGCATCCTCATCTGCACAGTGGGTTCAGTGACAGTACTTCACAGGAAGCGACTCACAACATAAGAAAACAGCACTCCGTACTGGGTGAGGGCCGGCTGGCACATTCTGTCACTCCTGTTAGTTTTCAAATTGTTGCCATAGATCCTCTCACCCATGTGCTTACCTGCATCCTACCTTTTCCTCCACGCCCTGTGTTAGTTCACCTTGGACCTGGAGTCTGCTTCTCGGTTAGAATCCCCAGGATTAGGCTTGCAACACTTCTGTAAGCATGTGATGAAGATCCATCTTAGCTGGAGTGTGCAGGGTCTGTGAGCACAAGGAAGGTAGTTTCAAAGAGCATGTTCAACATAATTTTATCTTTAGTGGAAAAGAGTCATTTTCATATTTCTTCATAAGGACACATTTTAATGTTGAACAAAAGGAACCGTGTTATTTAAAAGTTTGAGAAACATTGTTTCAAAGAATTACTAGAAGAAAAAAATGTATACTATTTTAAAAAATCTCCATATGTGAACCTCTCTACTGCTTTATTACAAATGCCACCAGATATAATACTTACTGTCCATAGTATTTATGAGATTCCCAATAATACTGTGTTTGCATGTGAAGAACTTTGATTTTATAGTAAAGATGTCTTAATTCCCTGAGTTGAAAACATATTATTCATCACATAACTCATGTGATGAAATTTTAATAATGTGGCTGAAATTTTGTTTTCTTAATTTCTTAGGATGGCTGCTGGAAACTTACACAAGAACTGGGATTTATATTAAAACTTAATACAAATATTTTAAACAGCTTTCTTGAACAAAAAGGCATTCGATCTCTAGGTACGTCATTATTTTTCTATTTATAAATGTCATACTCTTAAATGTTACACATTTTTGTAAACCAGTGTTCAAATATATTTGTTACATGTGAAAGGGATTATATTTGTTAATCATCAAAGGATGGGACTAGTTTCTAGTGATCTTTACCATTAAGTAGGATACTACCTGTGCAGACCTATTAGCATAAGTAGCAATGACTGCTGTCAAAAGATGCAAGTAGCCTAAACACAAAGATCACTTTCACGTGCACCTCACAGTCAGGTGTTGGTCCTCAGGGAATCCCGCTCCACACAGCGGTTTGGACACTTAGACTCCTTCTATACTGCAGTTCGACCCTCATCAATATGTGTCTTTACAGTTAACTCCTGGTGAAAAGGAAAGAAAAAAAGATTACTCTGGCATCATCCACCTGGTAGACCAGAGAGAGAGAGAGAAAATGTGGCAAGAATGAGCCTCTGAGCCCCACCCAGATACTAACACAGGGAGCTGGGAAATGTACTCTTTGAATTGCACTTCTTTAAATTGCGCTAGACCAAATGTAATGACGAAAACTTGCAGGGTGTTCTAGTTTCTGGAGTGAAAGAAGAGCTGACTAACTCCTGCCAATAACATTTATTAACCCTAGACAAAATATTTTAAAACCACTCTCTGAAGGCCTGGAATATAATCAGAAGCAGGCAGAAACTATCAGGGACACAAACCTTGAAAGAAGAGAAACAAATTAGGTGAGCTCCACTTTTATCCACCTTTTCACCTGAAGGCGCTTCTCAGTTCATGAGGCACATGGAGGTTAGAACTGAAACAGAAAGGGTTCATGGGATGATGGCACAGGGGTCAGCGTTTGAGCCTGAGAGCACCTCGAAATTGAAGGTGAGAATCCTTAATGGAGGGGACCGCAGAGCAGGGAGCTCTGAAAGCTGCATTGAAAGCTCCTTCAACTTTTGTTTTGGGATTGTGTGTGTTGTTTTTGTTGTGTTGATTTATTTGCTTGTTTTTAGAGAAACAAACTGCTACATCTGCTAGTGGAAGAAAATGCTTTGTTTTGCTCTGAAGATTCTGCAATTGTTCAGGCATATCATAGTTCATAGATTGCCAAGAATAATACTAATTAAATGCCAGTAAACTTTATTTATTCTTTTTGTATGGAATGTACACATTTCAGGGGATGATAGTGTCAGTGGTCCCTGTTCTTACTTTATGCAAAACATTCTCATCAATATTGGCATCATCTGTGTAATACTCCCAGTAGATTTTCCCAATGTCTGTTCACTTAAAATTGTATGGAATGACATAATAAACAAAAAAATCTGACTTATGCACACACACCTCCCTCAGATCCTTGGCTGTCCCCTAACCTATAGATACACCAGTGTGCCTTCAAGGAATCCAGAAAAAAGCAACAATCCCGAAGCTAGAGGGCTGAGCAGAGATTTCAGCTGTCACCAAGTGTTGGGAAGACAGGATTTAGTGTTCAGATTATAGCAAATTAGACTTGCTAAATGTCTCAGGCTTTCTACTGAAACCCTAGAAGAGCCATAAAGACTGTACGTATCTCATGATCAAGGACTGTCCAGCAGGATGAGGGAAAAAAACTGAACAGCCCCACCCTAACCAGGCCTAAAGCAAAGCCTTCAGAGGATCCACCAGAACAAATGTAAAACCATGAAAGTCCTAGAAGGACACAAGGAAAACTGAAAAATTCACAGATATGTGGAGATTATGCAACATGTTACAGAAGAAAACGTGGGTCAAAAGAGAAATCAAAAAATACCTTGAGACAAATGAAAATGGAAATTGTGGTGGTGGTTATAGTTGTTTAGTTGCTAAGTCATGTCCTACTCTTGAGACCCCACAGACTGTAGCCTGCCAGGCTCCTCTGTCACCTGGTGGCTCAGCGGTAAAGAATCCACCTGCAATGCAGGATGTGCAGATTTGGTCCCTAGGTCAGGAAGATCCCCTGGAGAAGGGAATGGCAACCTACTCCAGTACCTTTGCCTGGGAAGTCCCATGGAAAAGAAAAGAGAAAATGGAAATACAACATACCAAGATTTATGGGATGCAGCAAAAGCAGTTCTGAGAGATAAGTTCATAGAGATAAATGCCTAAATTAAAAAATAAGATCTTTAATAAGCAATCCAGCTTTTTCTGCAGTCATTGAGATGATATTATGATCTTTATTCCTCGATTTGTTGAACACATTGATCAGTGTGTGGATACTGAACCGTGATGTTAACTCTTCTCTACATGTTTTGCTAGAATTCACCTGTGAAGCTGTCTGGTCCTGGACTTTTGTTGTTGGGAGGTTTTTGGTGTGTTTCCGCCCCCCCCAATTCAGTCTTATTACTGATAATTGATCTGTTGATATTTTCTACTTTTCTTCCTGATTCAGTCTTCTTGTTCAGTGGCTCAGTTGTATCTAACTCTTTGCGACCCCATAAACTGCAGCACACCAGGCTTCCCTATCCCTCACCACCTTCTGGAGCTTGCTGAAACTCATGTCCTTTAAGTTAGTGATGCCATACAACCACCTCATCCTCTGTCATCTCCTTCTCCTCTTGCCTTCAATCTTTCCCAGCGTAAGGGTCTTTTCTAATGAGTTGCCTCTTGCCATCAGATGGCCAAAGTATTTATTGGAGCTTCAGCTTCAGCATCAGTCCTTCCAGTGAATATTCAGGATTGATTTCCTGTAGGATTGACTGGTTTGATCTCCTTGCAGTCCCAGGGACTCATGAGTCTCCACACCACAATTCAAAAGCATCAGTTCTTTGGCACTCAGCCTTCTTTATGGTCCAACTCTCACATCCATACATGACTACTGGAAAAACCATAGCTTTGACTAGATGGACCTTTGTTGGCAAAGTAATGTCTGCTTTTTAATACGCTGTCTAGGTTTGTCGTAGCTTTTTTTCCAAATCGTGTGCATCTTTTACTTTCATGGCTGCATTTACCATCTGCAATGATTTTGGATCCCAAGTAAATAAAGTCTCTCACTGTTTCCATTGTTTCCCCATATATTTGCCATGAAGTAATGGGACCGGATGCCATAATCTTAGTTTTTTGAATGTTGAGTTTTAAGCCAGCTTTTTAACTCTCTTCTTTCACCTTCAAAAAGAGGCTCTGTAGTGCTTCTTTGCTTTCTACTATAAGGGTGGTGTCTGCATATCTGAGGTTATTGATATTTCTCCAAGCAATCTTGATTCTAGCTTGTGCTTCATCCACCCTGGCATTTCACATTATGTACTCTGCATTTAAGTTAAATAAGCAAGGAGACAATACAGCCTTAACATGCTCCTTTCCCAATTTTGAACCAGTCCATTGTTCCATGTCTGGTTCTAACTGTTGTTTCTTGATCTGCATACAGGTTTCTCAGGAGGCAGGTAAGGTGGTCTCATATTCCCATCTCTAAGAATTTTCCACAGTTTGTTGTGATTCACACCATCAAGGGCTTTAGTGTAGTCAACAAAGCAGAAGTAAATGTTTTTTTGGAATTCTCTTGCTTTTTGTGTGATCCAGTGGATGTTGGCAATTTGATCTCTGGTTCCTCTGCTTTTTCTAAATCCAACTTGAACACCTGGAAGTTCTCAGTTCACATGCTGTTGGAGCCTCGCTTGGAGAGTTTTGAGCATTACTTTGCTAGCGTGTGAAATGAGTGCAGTTGTGCAATAGTTTGAACATTCTTTTGCATTGCCTTTCTTTGGTATTGGAATGAAAACTGACCTTTTCCAGTCCTGTGGCCACTGCTGAGTTTTCCAAATTTGCTGACATACTGAATACAGCACTTGGGAGATCCAGTCTTGGGAGATCATATATTGCTAGGAAGTTTTGCATTTCCTCTGTGCTGTGCTTAGTCAATCAGTCATGTCCGACTCGTTGCAACCCCATGGTTTGCAACTTTCCAGGCTCCTCTGTCCATGGGGATTCTCCAGGCAAGAATACTGGAGTGCATTGCCATGCTTCCTCCAGGGAATCTTCACAACATAGGGATAGAACCCAGGTCTCCTGCATTGCAGGCATTTCCTCTAGGTTGTCCATTTTCTTGGCATATAATTGTTCGTAGTCATCGACTATCACTTTCACAAGCAGTGTACGTCACAGGAATGTCAGTCCCCAGAACAGAAGAGTGTTTACTTTTGAAAAGCTGAGGAAAGGTTGGAGTGTAAGCAGATGTATTGGAAAACATATACAAGGGGGACTTCAACTTAAAATATTTTCTTTCTATTAAAGAAAAGAGAAAAATTCAAAGCTTGGAAAACTGTTAAGAGTAGGTAAGCTATGAGGTGATGGGAATATTCATCATATTATTTTTTCTACTTTTCTGTATCCTTCAAATTTTTTAAAAAACCATTAAGTGACTATGTTGTGGTAATGCAAACAGTGCTACATATCAGACATTTTGGAAACAGTTAATTGACCTGGGAAACTACACACATGTACATAGGCATATATGGAATTCAAGTTGTTTCTTTCTCTTGTTACTCTAATGATGATGAAGATTGTAGGAGAGGAAAAATAACTCTCTCTCTCCTCTTCTGGTTCTTGGCTGAGACTCCCCTGTAATTAAAGGTTAACAAGAGAGAAACAACTTGAATTACATACGTGCATATGTACGTGTATGTATGGGAGCCAGAGAAACACCTGAGACTCAAAAAGCAGCCAGATAGCTGAGCAAGGGAGAGGGACAGGGGCTGTAGGGCTCCCTGGAGGGTGGGGAACAGGCAGTTTATGGTCAGGTGAGGGGAAAGAATGTGTGGTAGACAGATATTTGCACTGCCTGGCATTCAGTCTCTCAATGGAAGACTGGCAACAGCTCTCTTCCGGTTAGACAGCCCTTCTCCTAATTTATTTTAGACTGTTGCGGGTGGGGGATGTAGTAAAAAGCTTTTCCTGAGTCTCCTAAGTGTTGATTGCCTTTAGCTTTTCACCAAAGTAGCAGATTCTCGGGTGGCTTATTTTGAACCCGGAAAGCCTGTGGAAAGTTTGGTTTCACAAAGGTTGGGATTGGAAAAGTAACAATGTTTAAAATCAAAATGTTTGTATAAAGTCATCTCAGATACATAGGTTGCCTTTAGAAAATAAAAATGGGTCAATTTCTGGGCTCAGTAGATATAAGCATTCATTTTCAACGTTGGTATTTTTCATAATAGAGTAAAATATCTTGATTTGGATAAGGACACCGGTTACCTGTATGTACTGTTAAAATCATCAAAGAGAGCAATTTATTGATCTTGAGAAGCAAACAGTCTGTAATCTCACACTTCATGAAGCAGGCAGACTCCAGTCTCGAGCCCAGAGAAGGCACAGTAAGGAAAGGGGCTGCTCGCTTTTATAGGAGGGGCGGCCGGGGACAGGAAGTGCCTCTGATTGACTGGTGCATGTCCGACCTCGGAAAAAGACCCAGGAACAAGAAAATAAGCAGAGAGCCTGGGAGCTGACTTAAGAGTCAGCACGTTTGGCTGCCTGAGTGTGTGGTGCTTCTGGTCAAGCAGAGCATTTACAGGAACATGAAAATTATCTAAATTTTGTTTTACTGACAGGGCACCCAAGGCACGAGCAGTGCTAGAAAGTCTATTCCAAGACTACTGATCACTAGGAATAATTTGATATTAATACAGTGGTCTAATCAATTTATCAGTTGTTCATCTGTTGTATGCTTAGGTTTATTCCTCTGAGGTATTTGCAGCAGGAGCCTAGAAACTAAATTTCTTTCAGTGAACTTCACACATCTTTGGTTATGTGGAAAGTTAGGGTGCAGGGGGTACTCTGGATGGAATTCAGTTTCCTAACAACCATCAGGATCTTATGATAGACACTTGTTCCAGTTGCCCTCCTTTTCTATTTAAATAGCTGGCTAGTTAAGGACCTTGGTAAGTATTACAGAGTTTTATGATGTGCTAATGTGTTATGGTTTAATAGTAATACTAATGTAATTCTTCAACAGAACTGTTATAAACAGGTACCGTTTGGGATGCAGTGTCTCTAACAGACAAAAACGAATGCTTCACTTCCAGGTGTAAGAGGAAGAGAGCACCTTCTAGACCTGATCGCCACGTTCCTAGTGCTGCAGTTCCTTTGCACCAAGTTGGAACAGGAGGGAATAATCATCAAATCGCTGATGAGACTGGATGATGCTTCCATTCCCAGGTGACTTTAACTCATTTATATTTTCAGTCATTTCTTTTATTATATTTGCTTATTTATTTGCCCTCAGCCTGTTTGTTTCATCTTGTTTGTTTTCATCATGAGCAAAAGCAGCTGTAGCAAGTGTATGTGTGTTGGCCAGGTTTTTATTGTCCTGTTATATGGATCCAGTGTAATAATTATGGAGAGTAATTCCTAAATTAACAATGATGCCCCTCCTCCCCACAGAATTATCTTAATCATGAAAAGAAATTGTTTAGGCTATGGGGAATTACATTCCTATTAGGTACCCTAGTCAGCAACCAAACTCTTTCAGTGGATTTCTTTTTTTTTTTTAACCTGGTGCATTGCTTCTTTTTTTTTTTTTTCCATTTATTTTTATTAGTTGGAGGTTCAGTGGATTTCTTGTTGTAATAAGCAAGACACAGGCAGAGAACAGGCTCATAAATAGCACCCCAAGTCCTAAAGCATTATGTATAAGGCTAAAGGAAAATTTGTCTTTATATATATTTTTTATTCCAGAAAATAGTGGAGTTAATAGGGAATGATTTTGTTTTTATTTTGTAAGTTTCTGTGTACAGTAAACCTCTACATTTTGAAATCATCTTTGAACTTATCTTTAAAACTTAACAAATTTTTTCAATCTGTGAGTCTTTTATTGGTCATTTATATGCCAGGTAGCAGCGTCAGCAAAAACAAACAAAACAAGTGTGTTTCCACCTAAAAGAGCATCTTGTCTCCTCATTTGCCTTTTCATGTAGTGCTTCTCTCCCAACTCTAGATCCACATAGATGAAAACAGCTTTACTGGTAACAGATCTTAAGGGGAAAAATATTGATCAGGAGGCAAGAAAGCTATTGATAATCCCCTCCCAAATACAAAAATATTAGTCAGCAGTTACTACACAAACTGCCTGTTGCACATACAGTCTCCCTTTAAGGCTAAGATTATCCTATTTTTACAAGGGGTAGAGGCAATAAGTTCCAAGAGAATTCAACCTTCTTTGAAACTAGCCCACATGCTCTACAGCGGACACTATAAGCACAGCTTTTACGGCCACCTGAGACCAGGGTTCAGATCCAATGGGAAAGGGAACTGGAGAGTAACAATTTTTTTAACCACTTTTACATTGAATAAAAGTGGATCGTAATTTATGCTGAGCAATTACAAATCAGCTATGTTTTTACAGAGTAATTGGAAGTAACTATTTTACAACTATTTCCTATTTGAAAACATTTTTTCAAGGCTGTAGTTCACAAGTGTGTGTATGGAGGGGAGGGATGTGGAAGATGAAGATGGATTATTTAGTTTAAAAAAAAAAGGCTCAACCATTTCTTAACTACCTTGTAAGAAGCTGCAGCAAACTGTAAGCACAGAGATAACTGTTCAAGGGAGCCTCTCACCGGAGCTCTTCCACTGTGTGTGGGTCGGACAGTGTTTGCACAGGAAACTGGGCTCAGAGAGTTACAGTGCTGCTGGGTCCTGGTTCAGGGCTCCTCTCACTACAGCATGTGGCTTGTATGTGCTTTTGGAAAATCTAACAATTCCTGGGCCTGGGACAAGAATACAAATAGAGACTCACATGGTATATGTCTTAAGTATTATTAAAGATTACAGATTAAACTTGCAGTTAAATACATTTAAAGTTCTACCCCAACAAATACAACTTTGTAACCACCTAGAAGACCAGGCTCAGATTTACAATTTTTGGACCTCCCTAAGTTTTATGCTCAAATATGGCAGCATGTGACAAGTGTGTGACAAGTCCTGGGGCCCCAGCCCTTGGCTGATGCCTGGTACCGTGGAGGCCTTGGGGGCAGGTATGAACACCCTGCTCGCTCATCAAAGCTGCATTTGTACCCATGCATATGGTATAGTGTTTTGTGTATACACACATGCATAGTCACACACATACACATACACACTGTTTTTCAAAAGGCAAGATAAGGGGAAAACTAACAAAACTAATAAAATATTTTCTTTGGGGGAGAAGGAGACAGGATGGAAGTTAAGTTTCTCATGTACTTTGTTTTATGGTTTTGACTTTGAAACTGTGTAAATCTTTTTACCTAATAAAGGCCAGATATCAGAGAACAGAGGTTGAGCATGTTAAATTATACCATGGGAATGTAGTCAGCAGTGTCTGGAATATGAGGAAATAAATGGCAAGAGAAAAAAGAGAGGAGAGGCGAAAACTATAAATTAAAGGACATTTAAAAAAAAAGGAAGAACGTTTGAAAGGAGGCAAATGTAGCCCTTATTTGGATCCTGATTTGAACAAGACCCATTGTACTTTTTTCTTTTTAAAAAATACAGGGAAATTTAAACATTACCTGAATATTTTGTGATATTAAAGAATATTCATAACTATTTTTAAGTTTCACATTTAAGAAAAAGTTCTCTTAGAGATAATATAGATGAAATTAAAATAAATGAGTAAATCTATTTGTACCCTCTTACAAGGACTGATTAAATTCTCCACTTCTGGGGAATTCCCTGCTGGTCCAGTGGCTAGGACTCCATACTGTCACTGCCAGCAACCCAGGTTCTATCCCTGTTCTTAGAACTAAGATCCCACAAGCCATACAGCTCAGCCATAAATAAATAATAAATTCTCTACTCTCAACATCATCAGACACAAAAGAGGTACTCAGAAAATAATTAACTGAGCATTTTACTATATGTAATATATAACTTCATTTTAAAAAGCAACATGTTTTAAATGAATATCTGGAAAAATACCTTCAAGAACCGGTGGAAGGGACTGTTTGATTTACAGACACAACCAGTGAGCCACCTCCTCTTTTTAAATCTTTCCAACTATGATAGCCACTGGAATAAGTATTAATAACTTTGAGTCGCCTTTTGAATTGTTATGGCACAAACTATTAAGTGAAGATTTTGAAAAACAGTGAAGTATATCCCATCACACATCATAACACCCATGCTGTTACCATATCACTGTTATTGTGTGGGCAGAATGATTTGTTGGCACTTTATAAAAATATTTTAAGTAATTTTTGTTTCCTATTTATGCATAGTTAAAGCTTTTATATATTTTCGGCTTCGTGATGTACATAACATTAATGCAGTAGCACGTTGCTTGGAGGCATATGAACAAAATTTTCATGTTAGTAGAACCATCAAAGTTTAGAGGCCATCTGGATTCGTGAGAATATTTAAAATCATCTTGCTGCTTTTAGTAGTTAGTAACTGTCTGTAGACTAATGATTATTGGGTCTTTTTAACCATGCTGGGTATGCCAGCTATTTAGTATGTTCATGTCATCATATTCAGCTAACATTTATTGATTGCCAACTTTGTGCCAGAGACTGTTAAACTTTAAATTCATGCTTTTTGTTAATCCCCACAACAAACCCATAGGATCTTGTATCACTGTTGTAACTGAAGAAAGAGACTTCCAGTGATAAATGAAAGCTGTAACAATATCACACAACTAGGGAATTCCCTGGTGGTCCAGTGGTTAGGACTCTGCAGGTTCACCACTGAGGGCCAGGGTTCAATCCCTAGTCAGGGAACTAAAATCCCACAAGACAGCTGGCCAACAACAACAAAAAACCAATATCACAACCAGTGTGCTCACAGAGGCAGGATTTGAACCGAGCTCTTAACCACCACACTACTCTGATGGCCCTTTTCCCAGTTCATGGGGGAAAAAACAGAAAGATGGAGAAAATTCTCCAGGTTTTCAGTTTCCCCCATATTCTTTAGTATATATCACCACTTGTTTGCTAGGAAGTTCTAGCAGACAACAAAACAACGAGGAAGTAGCTAACTAATACTAATGAGCGATCCCACGGTTTTTCTGAGTCTTTAGTTTGAATAATTGACACCATTTTCTGGACACAAACTTGAAGTTTTTATGTTATGCACATTTTACAAGTAAGTTGTTCCTCATTTGTGTGCTAAAATTAAATATATACCAGTATCTTGGGTGACTCTCAGGTACTTTACAAGTAAATAATAGAGTTGAGAATTCCTGGGACAATAAAAAGGAGAGAGAAATGAAAGCCTTTGTAAAATAGCATCAAGCTTGTCCTTGAAGGATAGAAAGGGGATGAAAACAAGTAAACATGTAAAGGGCCGGAGAAGCTGGAGTTGTCCTGGAGAGAGAAGAACGTGTGTCACACGCGGGAAGCTGGGCAGTGAGGGGGCTACTCTGTTTCCAAGTAGTTGAATACATTAAATGCACTATGTCAGACAGGTGGAAGAACTTTCACAAAACGTCAGAGGAAAAAAAGAACTGCTTTTATTAAGTATCTTAATTTTTGACAGATTTTGTCTGATATAATGTGCTGGATTTGGTACCACATGACATTTCATATGTAATTATATTCTGAAATTGATGGAAAAATGTGTTTAATCTAGGAATATTCCCTGGGATTGTGAGAAAATAAAGAAAGCCAGTGAGTGGCTCAGAAGAACTGAAGGGCAGTACCCATCCATCTGCCAGCGGCTGGAGCTGGGTGAAGACTGGGACTCTGCCACCAAGCAGCTACTGGGGATCCTGCCCAGAGACGCCGCCTCCCCTCCTCACAGGCTTCTTAAGCACAGCCAAGGCTGACGCACATTCACTTGTCTTTTAGCCTGCACTCATGCCTCATGTGTATGATAACCAGATATAATTGATGCCTATAATGAAATCTAATTACGATTTTATTCAGTATAGCAATCACTTTAAAATAAATGGAAAAGGCTATTGTTTCAGTGAACTAACAAGCAATTGTACAATAAAAATTTCAAGGAATTCCCTTTTAACTCCCAGCTTTTAATGCTGTGATTCTGGATTTGATCCCTGGTCAGGGAACGAAGATCCCACAAGCCAAGCAGTACAACCAAAAAAAACTTTTTTAGATAAAAATTCTAATATTACAGAATTTTTTTTTAACCAGAGGTTGGGGGAGGGTAGAGATTGGATGAAGGTGATCAGAAGGTACAAACTTCCAGGTACACGATAAATAAGTACTAGGATGTAATGTGCGGCATGAAAATATAATTAACACTGCTGTATAGTACATATGAAAGTTGTTCAGAGACTAAATCCTGAGTTCTCATCACAAGGAAAAAATGATCTTCTTTTACTCTGTACCTGTATGAGGTGGTGGGTATCACTAAACTACTGTGATCATCATTTCATGATGTTTGAGAGTCAGATCATGGTGCTGCCATCTTAATCTTATACCGTGCTATATGTCAATTATATCTCAATAAAACTGGGAGAAAAAATTAAATCACTACCCTCTTTGACCTATAAACTCCACTGGTAGGAATTGTACTTCTAGAAATTCATCTTACAGAAATGTGGACACATTGACACATGCAGGTATCATATGTGCATATATACATAGTGCCATCACCCAGCATACACAATAGAGCCCATTTTAAAAGTTCTATAAATAGGTGTTTGCGAGATAAAAATCTATCATGTCATATTCCAAACTAGTTACCTTTGAGGAATAGAAACTTTATTTCTACCTTATATACTTTGAATTTTAAAAGTTTAAATTAAAAAAATTAAAAAATTTTACAAGGAACGTATGTACTTAGTTTTTATTTCAAAAATACATAAAAGCAGAGTAAATAGTGTAATGACCCCCATCAAGACATAAAGTATTTTGTCAGTCTTTTTACATGTAGAAGAGTCTTCTCTCGCCTCTTGCTGCTGAGGAACTGGTCTGACTGTCTTACCAAATGTCCCACATTCTGGATATGTCTGTGTCCATTTCTCTTTCCCCATATTTCCTGTAAACTGGGAATTAAATCTGTAGTCCCAAGGAGATTAAGGATCAACGTTTTTGTCAACCTGAACCATGAAGTTTGGTTGATCTGCTTTAATAGTGTTAACATTGATTAGCAGGTTTCCAATATGAAGTTGTTTCCCTACAACCAACATCTATCTGTGGAGAGATACTTCGACATCCAGTTCCTTATCAGTCAAATGATGCTGTTGTCTGAATCATTTTAAGAAATATTGTGATTCTCTATTTTATTTCCTTCTTCTTATTAGCTAGAATTCTGAAATAATAAGTGTTCCCCATCAACTAATGTTGCTTTATTTAAAATTATAATTTAAATATTTTATTTAAAATGTTTTTATTTAATGTTGTAAATATCTCAAATTATTAGAATTGCTGCCCTTCTTTAGAGGCTGAGAGTCCCTGGAAGGCAGGCTCTGATGTATTTATCTTTATGTTCCTAACACCTAGGATGCACTTAGCAAGCCAGCACAAAGATCTGCTGCATCAGAGTCATAATCTGTTCATTTAAATTTTGTAAATTAATGTTATTTTGTAAATTGCCAAAATAAAAACTGTCACTTGCCATCTGCCTCTACAAGGATGAGGTCATTAGCCACTGCAGTCTCTGACCTGCAACACCCCCTGAAAGGAACTTGGGGCCAGGATCAGGAATGAGGCTCTGTGCTCTGGGAAAAACTCGCAGGACTGGCCTTCAGATATCTTCTGGAGATGTTATGAGCCCAATTCTCGCACCTCCTCATACCTAGAAAAGCACTAAAGTCAGTAACAAGGACACCTGCTCCTCATGACTAGCAGCGGCCCTCTGCCAAAGCAGGTGCTTGAGTGTGAGTACCCCCTTCACTGAAGTGACACCCGTGCTGAGCCCGCACCTCTTTGGAGCAGTTCCTCCAGTGCGGGGGAGAGCCTGTGTCCTGCATATAGTTATCATTTTACCCCAAATAAGACTTTGCTCACAGTTCTCACCTTGTGCATTTATATCCGTCAACAAAATTCAAGGTTAAATAAAAAGCTTCACTGCCACAAAGTCTCTTGTTTGCTTATTTGCAATTCAAAGAGAAAAATAATTCACCTAACTACTGTGGGAGCAAAGAAGAACTAGAGAGCCTCTTAATAAAAGTGAAAGAGGAGAGTGAAAAAGTTGGCTTCAAACTCAACGTTCAGAAAACTAAGCTCATGGCATCCAGTCCCATCACTTCATGGCAAATAGATAGGGAAACAGTGACAGACTATTTTGGGGGGGCTCCAAAATCAGTGCAGATGGTGACTGCAGCCATGAAAAGACACTTACTCCTTGGAAGAAAAGTTATGACCAAACTAGACAGCGTATAAAAAAGTAGAGATATTACTTTGCCAACAAAGGTCCGTCTAGTCAAGGCTATGGTTTTTCCAGTAGTCTGAGAGTTGGACTATGAAGAAAGCTGAGCACCTAAGAACTGATGCTTTTGAACTGTGGTGTTGGAGAAGATCTTGAGAGTCCCTTGGACTGCAAGGAGATCCAACCAGTCCATCCTAAAGGGAAATGAGTTCTGAATATTCATTGGAAGGACTGATGCTGAAGATGAAACTAATACTTTGGCCACCTGATGCGAAGAACTGACTCATTGGAAAAGACCCTTATGCTGGGAAAGATTGAAGGAAGGAGGAGAAGGGGACGACAGAGGATGAGATGGTAGGATGGCATCACCAACTCAACAGACATGAGTTTGATTAAGCTCCAGGAGTTGGGTGATGGACAGGGAAGCCTGGTGTGCTGCAGTCCATGGGGTCGCAAAGAGTTGGAGACGACTGAGCGACTGAACTGAACTGAACTGTGGGCGAGAGTTCATTTTTTTGGGGGGGGGGCACTTTTTGTCAATCACTTATAAGATGGGCAAATTACTTTTTATGAGGTTCTCTGATTTTCCTGGGGGGGGGGCGGGGAATCCCAGCTAGAATTTGGAAAAGAAACGTTTTCCTTATCTTTAAACAGCACTCCCCTAAACTGTAACAGCACTGAGAGCTGCGTTTGACTGGATCCTAGGCGTTTATCCTAGCTACATCACCCAGATAAGAATTTCTGGCCCGCCCACTCCACTCCCCGCCAGCTTTCCTCAAGCCATGCCCCGCGCCCTTGCCCCTCAAGCCCCGCCCCTAGCGCTGCCTCGAGACTCCCGCCACGGCCTTACGTCGCGACTCTTCCTTCCGCCCTAGCCACCTCCCCCCTAGGCCCGCCCACCCGCTTCCTGTGGGCGGGGCGGGGCTGAGGCGCGTCCGCGTTGACGTGTTTGTTGTGCGCGTGCGTCGCTCCTCGGTCCCGAGCCCGCCATTGGCGTTTTCCAGTCGGCGGCGTCCGACTGGCCGAGGTTCGGGGCCGAAAGCGGGGCGCGCGTAGCGGCCCCTCTCCAGGCAGCTTGGAGAGCTCCGTTATGGCGGAGGCGGAGGGAGCGAGCGTGGCTACAGTTCCTGGTTCGGGTGCCGAGGGCAGCGGTCAGTCGCCTGCAGTCGAAGGAGAGGGAGTTGGGGCGGGGGGCAAAGAGAAGGACGCGGACGCGAAAGAAAAGGAGGCCGGCGGGGACAGCGAGGAGGACGGCGAGAATGTGTTCGAGGTGGAGAAGATCCTGGACATGAAGACTGAAGGGGTAGGTGAGGGCCCGGGGTGATGCTGCCCGCGCAGAGGGGGCTCCGGAGGCGGTGTGGCGGAGGTCCACGCCGCGGGGGCGCTGAGACCGGGGCTCCCTCCTAGGCCGCCGTCCTCGGCGCGGGGACGGTGTCTCGGCTCCGAGAGCCGAGTGTCCTCGCCGCGCTCTGCCCCGCGCTTCCCCATCCCTCCTGGGGAACCTTGCTCAGTGTCTTGTTTGACCCTGGTCCCCCCCAAAGTAAGGTGCTTCCTCCGTTTGTGCCCTTACGAGACTTTGTATAGACCTCTGTTTACGTTTCAAGAGTTCGTTCTTTGTATGTTGGTCTCCTGCTAGATTGTGAACTCCCTTAGTATACAGAGACTGTGCTCTTTATTAACTTGTTAACGCTGGCACTTGAATCCGGTACCCAGCATGCAGTAATTGCTTAATGTGTATCAGGTTAAGTGAGTGAATCAGTTGTGGGATGGGGGAAGGTGAGTGGGTGGAAGGATGGGCAATGGGAAGATAATATGTTTTAGTAAATAGGTGTAGGGTGACCAAAGGCCCTACACGATGGTCCTCTGTGTGTTGTGTTTTCAGTTCAATTTCTCAGTCGTATCCGACTTTGCAGCCCCATGGACTGCAGCACGCCAGGCTTCCCTGCCCTTCTTTTTATTCCCTATGTTTTTTTAATTGTCTCTCATTTCCCATTTGTCGTATGCTGCCTTTTTTTTTTTTTTTCGCGCATTCATTCAGTAGAATTTTGTTTTCAATTACTGCCTGGTAGGTGCCGTGTTAGGTCCTGAGGATATAGAGATGATTTGTAGCATAAACGGTTGCTGATATAAAAGATTCTCTTGTCCAGTGGGGGGTAAATAACTGAAATCCAATGTCGACAATATTATTGTTAGTTGCAGTGAAGTTAGAGACATTTTTATGTATTTAATTTTCCCAATTACGTTGTAAATACCTTGAGGTGAGAAGTGGAGCATTCTTACACTTTTGTATCACCTGCGTTTAACATAGTCCCAGGCAGGCGGAAGATATTCAGAAAATAGTTAAGATGGTAATGACTTAACAATTAAGATGATTCACTTCTTAATACAATGTTTTGTTTTGTCAGCTTCGAAGGATTGTAGGAACTGCGCCTAAAGCCCCATCTTTACATTTTCTTTCCTTTATTTAAGTGGAATCTCACTATATTTGTTTGGTGTGCATCTGCTTTTTTTGTTCAGTAACATCTTTGTGAGATTTAGTCCCTGCTGTTGGAGCTATAGTTTGGTTTTTTTTGATTGCTACTTAGTTACAGTTGACCTCAAACAACTTGGGCCCTAGGGTTGCTTGGCCCTGCACAGTTGAAACGCCAGTATAACTTTTGACTCCCTCAAAACCTAATTACTAAAGGCTTTTTTACCAGAAAGGGAAGCCTTACCATAGTGTAAACAGTTAACAAATATTTTGAATGTTACGTGTATTATATATTGTGTTCTTAATAAAGGGCTTCCTTGGTAACTCAGCTGGTAAAGAATCCACCTGCAATGTGGGAGACCTGGGTTCAGTCGCTGGGTTGGGAAGATACTTAATAAAAAAGTAAACTAAAGAAAAGAAAATATTAAGAAAATCGTAAGGAAGAGAAAATATATTAATGGTATTGCCTACCCTATTTACATCATTTGTTGACAAAATGAATTACCTGTCAGAGCCTACATCAATATTGTCTTAAATAAAACATTGTAGGTGTTGTATGTATTACTAACACTGGCATCAACAATGAAAAGGTAATGTGAAAAAGTTGAATGATTCAGTGTTTTATGGTAGCATAGTGTAATCGATACAGTTGCTTCACAGTAACCTAGTTTGGGCTTCCCTGGTGGCTTAGTGATAAAGAATCCGCCTGCAGTGCTGGAGGTGCAGGAGCTGCCAGTTAAGATTCTTGGGTTGGGAAGATCCCCTGGGGGTAGGCATGGCAACCCACTCCAGTCTTCTTGCCTGGAGAATTCCATGGACAATCCATGGGGTCACAAAGAGTCAAACATGACTGAAGCGACTTAGCACAGCACAGCAGTCTAACCTAGACACTAAAGAACAGGTCATTAAAAAATTTTTATGGCATACAGTATTACAGTCATATTTATAATACAGTATCAGAAACATTGTTACATTTTTAAAGAAGTCATTTACCTTGAATAATAGGCTAATATTCAGTTTCTCCAATTAGAAAAGAATGATAATTCTTTGAAAGCAAAGTTATAACACATTGAGAAAACAACACATTAATTTCCCATTAACTGTCACTCATCTTATGCCTTTGTAGTAATAGACCAACATCTGCATATTCTTCATGCATTCTTTGCATACTTTTCTCTTAATTATTTCAGTATTTCTAGACTATATGGTTCATCTGCAACTTTATTCAAATTGTTGAAAATCTCTAAAAATTTTTCAAAATATTTATTGAAAAAAATCGGCATATAAGTGGACCCCACAGTTCAAACCCATGTTGTTAAAAGGTCAACTGTATTCAATTGTATGAATATATTACAGTTTTATCTTTTCTACTACTGTTGATGGGCACCTAGGTTTTTTCAAGTTTTGGTCTACTGTGAATAATGCTTCTGTGAACTTTACTGATGGAGAAGAAAATGGCAGCCCACTCCAGTATTCTTTCCTGGATAATTCCATGGACAAAGGAGCTTGGTGGGCTACATTCCATGGGGTTGCAAAGAGTCAGACACGACTGAGTGACTAACAGGCCAGGAACTTTACTGAACATGTCTCCTGGTGTATTGTGCACAAATGATTCTCTTGGTTCTGTTGCTATATACCTAGGAGTGGGAGGTGTACACCTAGGAGGACAAGATGCATATGTCTTCAGCTTTAAGAAACTGTTTTCAAAAGTGATTGTACCAATTTACAGTACTACTATTGGCTTATGAGAATTCCTTTCATGTCGCATCCTGTCAACACTTGATATCATCAGTCTTTATATTTCAGCCAGTAGAGGTGGTATATTTGTTGGTGTTTCCTGCTTATAATTTATATTTTTCTGGACTTTACATTAGAAATCAGCATTGAAATCATTGAGCATCTTTTCATATATTTATTCATCATTTGGTTATCTTTTATGAACTGCCCTTTCAGATCTCTGTACTGAGTTGTCTTTATTGATTTCTTGTATTCTGGATTCAAACCCTTTGTGAGTGGTGTCGTTTAAATCTCTTTTCCTGCTATGTCTTTTTGGTAAATAGAATATGATTAATGTAGGAAAAGTTAATCTTTGTCTTGATGTTGAGTGCTTTTAATGTCTGGTTTGAGAAATCTTTCCTTACTCTAAATATTCTTTTTTTTTTTTTTCCTGAAAGCTGTATTGTTTTGTCTCTCTGACTTATGTTTGCACATCACTTGTAATTGATTTTGTGTATAGTGTAATGTAGGAGTCAGGTTTCATTGAGCAAATCTTTGTTTTTATTCTTTAACAATGCCTTGTAAATTTAGAACCAGCTTGTCAATTTCCTTGCACACATAAAAACTTTGAGTTTTTATTGAGATTTGCATTGAATCTGTGGATAAGTTTAGGATTAATTTAATTGCTTCAATAATACTTTATAGCTTTCTTTTAAAAAAATACTTATTTAGTTATTTATTTGGCTGCACCTGGTCTTAGTTGTGGTGTGTGGGATGTTTGTTGTTGTTAGTTTCTGCAGGTGTGATTTCTTTAGTTGTAGTCTGTGAACTCTTAGTTGCAGCCTGTGAACTCTTAGTTTCTGCGTGCAAATTAATATATGACCAGGGATGGAACCCAGGCCCCCTGCATTGGGAGCAAGGAGTCTTAGCCACTGGACCACCAGAGAAATCCTGTTTTAAAACTTTCTGTGTTGAAGTTTTAGTAAATTGATTTTTAAGTGTTATTGATTTTTCAGTGCAGTGGTAAATGATTTTTTGAAAAGTTTCCTTGTCTTACTTTTTGTTGCTTATGAAATTAATTTTTGTATATTTACCCTTTGTTAAAGAGATTCCCTCTATTTCTGGTTGCTAAATACTTTTATTGTGAATGGATTGTGTGTTGAATTTTATTAAATCATTTTTGCTGCATCTATGATTGCATAATGTTTCTCCTTTATACCACTAATGTGATGAATTACACTGATTTCAACTTCATGTTCATAGAATAAACCAAAGTTGGTTGTGATATTATCCTTTTTAATATTAGATTATATAGTTCTTAATTATTTCATTTATTTCTGCTTTTTCTTTATGATTTTCTTTCCTTATTTGTTGGTCTTTTTCTAGCATCTTGAGATGCACAGCTTTTTAAAAGATATTTATTTTTAACTGATGATTGCTTTACAGTATTGGTGTGATTTGTCATACATCAACATGAATTAACCATAGGTGTACATATGTCTCCTCCCTCTTGAATCTCCCTCCCACCTCCCTCCCATTCCACCTCTCTAGGTTATTACAGAGCCCCAGTGTGAGTTCCCTGAGTTGTATAGCAAACTCCCTTAACTGTCTATTTACATATGTTGGTGCGTGTGCATCCATGCTGATCTCTCCATTCATCTCACCCACCCTTGTCCATAAGTCTGTTCTCTGTGTCTTGTCTCCACTGCTGCTCTGCAAACAGATTTGTATCTTCCTTCTAGATTCCATATATGTGCATTAATATAAGATACTTGTTTTTCTCTTCCTGACTTACTTCACTCTGTATATTAGGCTCTAGGTTCATCCATCTCATTTGAACTGATTCAGAAGAGTTCCTTTTCATGGCTGATGTGACTGTAAATACGTACCACAGCTTCTTTATCAGTTCATCTATTGATGGACATCTAGGTTGATTCCATGTCTTGGCTGTTATAAATAGTGCTGCGGTGAACACTGGGGTATATGTGTCTTTTTCAGTTTTGGTTTCTTCAGGGTGTATGCACAGTAGCAGGACTGTTGGATTGTATGGTAGTTTTATTCCTCGTTTTTAAAGGACTCTCCATACTGTCTTCCACAATGCCTGTATCAGTTTATGTTCCCACTAGCAATGTAGTGGTTCCTTTTTCTCTACCCTCTCCAGCACTTGTTATTTGTGGATTTTTTAATTATGGCCATTCTGTGTGGCATGAGGTGATATTTCATTGTAGTTTTGCTTTGCATTTCTCTAATAATGAGCGATTTTGAGCATCTCTTCTTGTGTTTATTAGCCATCTGTATGTCTTCTTTGGAGAAATGTCTGTTTAGGTTTTTTGTGCTTTTTGATTGGGTTGTTTTTCTGGTATTGAGTTATGAGCCACCTGTAGATTTTGGAAGTTAATCTAACTGTCAGCTGTTTCATTTGCTATTATTTTCTCCCATTCTGAGGGTTGTCTTTTCACCTTATTTATAGTTTCCTTTGCATAGCTCACTGTTTTTAGCCTTTCTTTTTTCAAATAACATGCCTTTATGTCATGTTAAATTATGTTCTCATCATACTTTAGTTGCAGCTCATAAATTATGTTTGTTTTCATTCAGATAACATTATTTTCTAATTTCCATAAATTGTGTACAGATACATTGCTTAATTTCCAAACATTTGAGTATTGGTAAATGTTTCATGTGCTTTAAGAGAACTTTTTACTTTCACTGATATAAGTTCTGATGTTGTTTTACATTGAATATTTGCTGATTAATTGTGTTGAAAGTGTTCCACTCAGTCACTCAGTGGTGTTCAGCTCTGTGACCCCATGGACTGCAGCCTGCCAGACTCATCTGTCAATGGGATTCTCCAGGCAAGAATACTGGAGTGGGTCACCATTCACCTCTCTAGGCTGTCGTCCCTACCCACGGATTGAACCCAGGTCTCCTGCATTGCAGGCTAATTCTTGATATAATTTGGGCCACCAGGGCCCAATTAGGTTACTTGAAACCTGTAATACATCTGCCAGCAAGCAAATCAACCATTAGTTAATAACTTGAAACTGTGGGAGAATGGGGAAGTAATTGGAGAATAATTTGAATGGAAGAGGCTATTCTCTATTTCGAATATTCAGTCTCAGTTCAGTCACTTAGTCGTGTCCGACTCTTTGCAACCCCATGGACTGCAGCACACCAGGCTACCCTGTCCATCACCAACTCCCCGAGCCTACTCAAACTCTTGTCCATTAAGTTGGTGATGCCATCCAACCATCTCATCCTCTGTCATCCCTTTCTCCTCCCTCCTTCAATCTTTCCTAGCATCAGGGTCTTTTCAAATGAGTCAGTTCATACTTCATATTCCTGATATTATTCATTAGTATAGCTGTCATTTTTTTGTGATATGTTTAAAGCAGTACTAAAAGATACCAGTACAGGAGACAGGGATCAAGACCATCCACATGAAAAAGAAATACAAAAAGGCAAAATGGTTGTCTGAGAAGGCCTTAGAAATAGCTGTGAAAAGAAGAGAAGCGAAAAGCAAAGGAGAAAAGGAAAGATATTCCCATTTGAATGCAAAGTCCGGAATAGCCAGGAAGAGATAAGAAAGCCTTCCTCAGCGATCAATGCAAAGAAATAGAGGAAAACAACAGAATGGGAAAGACTAGAGATCTCTTCAAGAAAATTAGAGATACCAAGGGAACATTTCATGCAAAGATAGGATCGATAAAAAGACAAAAATGCTATGGACCTAACAGAAACAAAAGATGTTAAGAAGAGGTGGCAACAATGCACAGAAGAGCTATACAAAAAAGATCTTCACAAACCAGATAATTACGATGGTGTGATCACTCACCTAGAGCCAGACATCCTGGAATGTGAAGTCAGGTGGGTCTTAGAAAGCATCACTATGAACAAAGCTAGTGGAGGTGATGGAATTCCAGTTGAGCTATTTCAAATCCTGAAAGATGATGCTGTGAAAGTACTGCACTCAATATGCCAGCAAATTTGGAAAACTCAGCAGTGGCCACAGGACCGGAAAAAGTCAGTTTTCATTCGAATCCCAAGGAAAGGCAATGCCAAAGAATGCTCAAACTACCGCACACTTGCACTCATCTCACACGCTAGTAAAGCAATGCTCAAAATTCTCCAAGCCAGGCTTCAGCAATACGTGAGCCGTGAACTTCCAGATGTTCAAGCTGGATTTAGAAAAGGCAGAAGAACCAGAGATCCAATTGCCAGTATCTGCTGGATCATCGAAAAAGCAAGAGAGTTCCAAAAAACATCTATTTTTGCTTTATTGATTATGCCAAAGCCTTTGACTGTGTGGATCACAATAACTGTGGAAAATTCTGAAAGAGATGGGAATACCAGAGCACCTGACCTGCCTCTTGAGAAATCTGTATGCAGGTCAGGAAGCAACAGTTAGAACTGGACATGGAACAACAGACTGGTTCCAAATCGTGAAAGGAGTATGTCAAGGCTGTATATTGTCACTGTGCCTATTTAACTTAAATGCAGAGTACATCATGAGAAAGACTGGGCTGGAAGAAGCACAAGCTGGAATCAAGACTTCCGGAAGAAATATCAATAACCTCAGATATGCAGATGACACCACCCTTATGGCAGAAAGTGAAGAGGAACTAAAGAGCCTCTTGATGAAAGTGAAAGAGGAGAGTGAAAAAGTTGACTTACAGCTCAACATTCAGAAAACTAAGATCATGGCATCTGGTCGCATCACTTCATGGGAAATAGATGGGGAAACAGTGGAAGCAGTGTCAGACTTTTATTTTGGGGGGCTCCAAAATCACTGCAGATGGTGATTGCAGCCATGAAATAAAAAGACGGTTACTTCCTGGAAGAAAGGTTATGACCAACTTAGACAGCATATTAAAAAGCAGAGACATTACTTTGCCAACAAAAGTCCATCTAGTCAAGGCTATGGTTTTTCCAGTGGTCATGTATGGATGTGAGAGTTGGACTCTGAAGAAAGCTGAGTGCTGAAAAATTGATGCTTTTGAACTGTGATGTTGGAGAACACTCTTGAGAGTCTCTTGGACTACAAGGAGATCCTACCAGTCCATCCTGAAGGAGATAAGTCCTGGGTGCTCATTGGAAGGACTGATGCTGAAGCTGAAACTCCAATACTTTGGCCATCTGCTGTGAAGAGTTGACTCGTTGGAAAAGACCCTGATGCTGGGAGGGATTGGGGGCAGGAGAAGGGGACGACAGAGGATTAGATGGCTGGATGGCCTCACTGACTTGATGGACATGAGTTTGAGTAAACTCTGGGAGTTGGTGATGGACAGGGAGGCCTGGCATGATGCGATTCATGGGGTCACAGAGTCGGACACGACTGAGCAACTGAACTGAACTGAAAAGATACTAGATATTTTTACTTCTTTTATTAGATATTTTTTGCCTCGCCATTTTAGAACATATTAGCTATTTTTACTTCTTTTATTTATTTATTGCCTTGCAGTAAGGTATCCTGACCAGGGATTGATCACCCCACCCAACATGAGAAGTTCAGTCTTAACCATTGAACCTCTAGGGAAGTTCCTGCTTTTGTTATTAATATACTTGAAGTCCATTAAAGTGCCTAGTTACAGTTGTGGTTTTTGTTCTTAATTTCATGTTCAAAATACACTCAGACTCACTAGCCTTGACTTTTTTGTATTTTTTTAACGAATTATCTAGTATATAGAATCTTAAGAGGATAGGAGGGCCATCTGCTTCCTTATAGTTTGGCTCATGGGTTAAGCTCAGCTACCAAGAAAATAAACATTATGGGAGTTTTGAAGATAAGTTTATAGATCCCAGGACTGTCATGAAATTTTTTTTAATATACAGCAAAGTCTTGGGCAATATTTGGGTTAACATCACTCCTATTAAAAAAAAAAGTATAATTCAGCGATTTCATTTCTTTTGTATACTGCTGTACACATGGTGACCCTCAGTAAACATTTATTGAATGAATGAATGAAGCAAAACTGCTGAAATAAAGGCTGTTATTATCAGTCAAGTCTGGAGCTAAAACTGAGGATATGCTCCTTAAATGATTATTAATATTCCTCATTGTCATTGACTAGATAAAACTTAATTGATAATTAATATTAAATTTATACTTATGTTCATTGTTGAAATAAAACTTTAATAGTTTTTTTTTTTCTTAAATCAGAAAAGCTGCAAGAATTGTGTAGAATCTCCCACATGCCTTCACTCAGATCCCCCAGTTGTTAATATTGGCTTTATTTTTTTCTTCTATATACATTTTTTTCCTGCTCATTTGAAAGTAAAAAAAAAAGAACAAGGGAGTATAGTTCCCTGACTAGAGATTGAACCCGGGCCACCTGCATTGGGAGTGCTGAGTCTTCACCACTGGACCACCAGGGATACTTTTTTTTTTTTTTAAGGCCACTTGCTTCAGAAGAACTCCCCTACACACACATTTTATTGTTGTTGTTATTTAATTTAAAATTTTATTTTTTTAATTTAAAAATTATTTATTAAGTGAAAAGTACCATATATAAAATAAATCGAAGATGAACTCTCCTTCCGCCCTCCTCCCCAGAAACTGTTACAATCACTGGCTTCTATCTTAGAACATTTTAAGAGGTGCTTTAAGGCCAGTTCATGTTAGGAGGGGACAGAAGTTAAAATGTGACTGATGTCTTACTATTCCACTGTGGTAAGCAGTTGCCCTCGGGAGAAACTGTAGCTGGACTTGGATTGGGTGGAATTTCATTATGTGTTTCAAGATATTCACAAATGATTTCCGGAGATGAACTACTTTTTTTTAGATGAACATTTTTTATCACGATTTTAATCTCCATTTTAAGTTGGTTCATTTGTTCTCAGCAACTGTATGGCTTTGGAACTATAATCAAGTCTAATATCCTTTATTTGACTGTTTTTAATTTATGTTACAGGGTAAGGTCCTTTATAAGGTTCGTTGGAAAGGATACACAGCAGATGATGATACCTGGGAGCCTGAGATTCACCTTGAGGACTGTAAGGAAGTTCTTCTTGAATTTAGGAAGAAAATTGCAGATAACAAAGCTAAATCAGTGAAGAAAGATATCCAGGTATTATATTTTATCTCATAGTGGTTGGTTTTTTTTAATGTAATAAATTTACTATAAATTTAATGGTATACAAAATGTACAGTATGGAATTTACAAGGAAAAATGAAATATACAGCATTTCTATTGTAAGCTCTGTATAGCCAGTTGATTCTCATGGTGTTTTCATTGATTTTTGCCAAAGTGTTCTTTCTGTAGCCAGCCTGTGATTGCAGGTGACAAACAGCTATAGTTTGGACATGTTGATTAAGTTACAAGTAACATGAAAGTGGGGAGAAAAGAGACGTGTTGAAATTTTACTTGTTTGTCCATGATGTGAACATTGTGTTTTCGTATACCTGAGGAATACCTTTTGTGCTATTCATGTTACTACTGCAGATGCACCACATACTTTGGTATTTAATCGGCTTTCAGTTCATTTCAGTTGCTCACTCGTGTCCAACTCTTTGCAACCTCATGGACTGCAGCATGCCAGGCCTCCCTGTCCATCACCAACTCCCAGAGTTTACTCAGACTCTTGTCCATTGAGTCGGTGATGCCATCCAACCATCTCATCCTTTGTTGTCCCCTTCTCCTCTCACCTTCAATCTTTCCCAGCATCAGGGTCTATTCAAATGAGTCAGCTATTTGCATCAGGTGGCCAGAGTACTGGAATTTCAGCTTCAACATCAGTCCTTCCAATGAACATTCAGAACTGATTTCCTTTAGGATGGACTGGTTGGCTCTCCTTGCAGTCCAAGGGACTCTCAAGAGTCTTCTCCAACACCACAGTTCAAACGCATCAGTTCTTTGGCACTTAGCTTTCTTTATAGTCCACATTTTACATCCATACATGACTACTGGAAAAGCCATACCTTTGACTAGATGAACCTTTGTTGGCAAAGTAATGTCTCTGCTTTTTAATATGCTGTCTAAGTTGGTCATAACTTTTCTTCCAGGAAGTAACCGTCTTTTTATTTCATGGCTGCAATCACCATCTGCAGTGATTTTGGAGCCCCCCAAAATAAAAGTCTGACACTGCTTCCACTGTTTCCCCATCTATTTCCCATGAAGTGATGCGACCAGATGCCATGATCTTAGTTTTCTGAATGTTGAGCTGTAAGTCAACTTTTTCACTCTCCTCTTTCACTTTCATCAAGAGGCTCTTTAGTTCCTCTTCACTTTCTGCCATAAGGGTGGTGTCATCTGCATATCTGAGGTTATTGATATTTCTTCCGGAAGTCTTGATTCCAGCTTGTGCTTCTTCCAGCCCAGTCTTTCTCATGATGTACTCTGCATTTAAGTTAAATAGGCACAGTGACAATATACAGCCTTGACATACTCCTTTCACGATTTGGAACCAGTCTGTTGTTCCATGTCCAGTTCTAACTGTTGCTTCCTGACCTGCATACAGATTTCTCAAGAGGCAGGTCAGGTGCTCTGGTATTCCCATCTCTTTCAGAATTTTCCACAGTTATTGTGATCCACACAGTCAAAGGCTTTGGCATAATCAATAAAGCAAAAATAGATGTTTTTTGGAACTCTCTTGCTTTTTCGATGATCCAGCAGATACTGGCAATTGGATCTCTGGTTCTTCTGCCTTTTCTAAATCCAGCTTGAACATCTGGAAGTTCACGGCTCACGTATTGCTGAAGCCTGGCTTGGAGAATTTTGAGCATTGCTTTACTAGCGTGTGAGATGAGTGCAAGTGTGCGGTAGTTTGAGCATTCTTTGGCATTGCCTTTCCTTGGGATTCGAATGAAAACTGACCTTTTCCGGTCCTGTGGCCACTGCTAAGTTTTCCAAATTTGCTGGCATATTGAGTGCAGTACTTTCACAGCATCATCTTTCAGGATTTGAAATAGCTCAACTGGAATTCCATCACCTCCACTAGCTTTGTTCATAGTGATGCTTCCTAAGGCCCACTTGACTTCACTCACATTCCAGGATGTCTGGCTCTAGGTGAGTGATCACACCATTGTGGTTACCTGGGTCATGAAGATCTTTTTTGTACAGTTCTTCTGTGTATTCTTGCCACCTCTTCTTAATATCTTCTGCTTCTGTTAGGTCCATGCCATTTCTGTCCTTTCTTGAGCCCGTCTTTGCATGAAATGTTCTCTTGGTATCTCTAATTTTCTTGAAGAGATCTCTAGTCTTTCCCATTCTGTTGTTTTCACCTCTATTCATTTGCACTGATCACTGAACAAGGCTTTCTTATCTTACTTGCTATTCTTTGGAACTCTGAATTCAAATGGGAATATCTTTCCTTTTCTCCTTTGGTTTTTGCTTCTCTTCTTTTCATACCTATTTGGTGTGAAATAGTGATTAGTAAAACTAATCAGCTTTAGTAACATATTTCTGAGTCTCACTTTTCTGCTAATTAAAATAATTCTCAGATCACTTTATAAAGCTATAGTTTCTAATCTATAACTTAAAAGCTATACCTTTAATCTGTTTCAGATTATTCACAAGTTTGATTATATCCACTTCAGTTTTTAGCCACTTTATTTGTTTTTTAGGAGCTCTTGTTGATGCTAAGGAAGGATAAAGGATTCAAAGGAACTCAGATGACTTAAACTTCCTTCATCAGCAGTTTGGAAAAAGACTTGATGGTGTTTGAAAGTGGGATAACTTAAAACTGACGCACAAATCTGGCTCAAGGGTTTCCTTTTAGGGGTTTATCCGTTTTATCTTTGATTCTTATATTCCACACATTATTGAATTGGCTTTATTTATGATCTTCTGAGGATTTTCTGTTTTTAAGTTTCATTTATAGCTTTTATTTATAAATCAAACCCACTCTTGTGCAATTTCTTCTTTTTGCTTTTAGTTTTCTTATTTATTAGAAGTAATTTCATTTTTTAGACTGACAGATGTCCTTGAACTTAGAACTATTAATATACAGTGAAAATCACTCGCAACAAAATTTCATATTGATTTTTTTATTTTAAGGACTGAATATTGATCCCTTCTTTCCCTACAGTTTGAATTTTACTGCACACTTAGTATCTTTTAAATGACAAAAGCAGTATTAGGACTGTGTGTAATGGTTGTTAACAATAATTGTGGTGATAGAGGCACCTCTGCCTGGCTAGTGCTTGTACTCTTTATGTACCAGATACCCAGCCAGCACTTTTATGGATTAGACTGAAAGAACTGAGGCTTAAATGAGCTAAGTAACTAGGCTCAGTTCACCAGTTAGTACTGATAGAGCCAGGCACTATGATAGGCTTTCTTTTGGTTTAGGCTATAGTTTGAAATTGGTTTAGAAGAGTGGAATTACCAGTTTTTAAAAAGTAAGCTGTAGTGGCAGGGTCTTTAATAAATAGTTTTTTAATTACTAAGGAAACTCTTTTGTACTTTTTAAATTTTTGTAAAGGAAATCCTTTATGAGTTCAGATTAGAGCCTTTTTTCCTTAAGTGTTTTGCTATAGTCATACTTCACTTTTCTAGAATGGGTGCCTACTCCCTCCTTCCCTGTTTCTTCACTAAAAATACTTACAGACACAAATGCACCCATCGTACTAGGTGATTGGTTCATATTGCTCAAAATTTAGACATTTTGATTAAGTTTTCTTAAATTCATGTTTAACTTTACTCCCTGATTAGTGAGACAAGTTTGCTGACAGTTTTCTCAGAAAGTCTTGACTCATAGAACACTGCCTTTATTGTCCAGTCACATCACCAGGGCTCTGCTTCAACCCAGCTTGCACAGGAGTCTGGATGAGAACGACTCCTGATAGACTGCTGGGTTTGAGGCTTCTTCTAAAGCTTAAAAATCCTTGTCCTAGTTTTAGGGAGATACTTTTCCACTTGAAAGTGTCTTTTTCTAAACTGTCCTTACTATTTTATAAATAAATTAAAATTCCAGGCACTAATAACATTTTGAATCTTTATAAGATTGAAAGCCCTGTTTCTTTTTTTTTTTTTTTTTTGTATTGGAGTATAGCTGATTAACAATATCGTGATTGTTTCAGGTGCATAGCAGAGCAACTCATCCATGCATATACATGTATCTATTCTCCCCCAAACTCCCCTCCCATCCAGGCTGCCATATTAACATTGAGCAGAGGTCTCCTCGGGTATACAGTATGACCTTGTTGGTTACCCGTTTTAAATATAACAGTGTGAGGAAATGAATGTGTTAGTCACTCAGTTGTGTCTGACTCTTTGCAACCTCATGGACTTTAGCCCTCCAGGCTCCTCTGTCCATGTGATTCTCCAGGCAAGAATACTGGAGTGGATAGCCATTCCCTGCTCCAGGGGATCTTCTTCACCCAGGGATCGAACACAGGTCCCAGATTATGGGCAGATTCTTTACCATCTGAGCCACTAGGGAAGCCCATATTTATACAGTATTCCAGTATTTATATTGCTATGACTTTTAACCTAATTATTGAATGGTGTCGGTAGACAAGTCTGTGGCAAAAATGCAACTACTCATTAACCTTTTCCCACTTGAGCAAAATAGTTTTGCTGTTCATGAGTTCTTGTGATTCTCTCACTCTAGGTGTAGAGGCAGAGAGTAGGAGAAAATGCTTCATTCACCTCATCATCACTGTTCATGCAAGAAACAGACATGTGCCGCCTGTGAAAAATGATTTTTGCCTATCACCAAAATCTTTGTCTTATGGGGAAGTGTTACTAATTCTGAGAGCCCTGCTTGTTCAGGACTCAGTCAGCATCACAGAAAGAGAAATGTTTTCTACCAAAAAGTGACTGTTGATTCTATTCACCAGAAAATATATATCATGCAGAAATGGTATTTGTCTATTAAAATACTTTTTTTAGCATTTGGATACCTTTTTATCTTTTTGCTGACTCTCGGGTAGTTTGAGATTTTTTTTAAAAGCAGTGAAGTACTGTTTAACGTTGACTTGTGTGATACAGTCTAGACCTTCATTTTTAGTCAACTAAAAATCCACAGCTAGGCACTGGCTGGTTTCCTTGAGAGCTCTGATAATGGATGTTACATGACAAAGAATAACCTCTGCTGGACCATCACAGCAACATTTTACTGCTTT